AGATCCAGATGGGTGATCATTGAAAGGTTCAATTGGAACCAAAGCTAGCTGATTCTGTAAGGCCTCAACATTTTCAACGACCCTTTTCTCAATTCTGATTGCTTCAATGGTGGTTCTATGTGGAGATTTTGACGACCCTTGTTGCTGAGAAGTATGGCATGTATGACACCCATGATGGAGAGGAGGATGGGGAGACTGATCACACAAGGGGCATAGTAGACAATCAACTGGTATCCGGGATGGTGTCGACTGTATATATACCATTCAAGGATCATGGCAATGCCTAAGGTGAAGGTGACAGTACTGCTGATGACGAAGAGTAAACAGATTCTGGGTTGGGTAGGTGGAAGAAAGTACTGATCTTGGTAATACATAATGGTGGCTTGATTTGAGGTGCAGTTTCTATGTTCATGTTGGTGTCCATTCAAAATGGATTATGCAAATTTGAACGTCTAGTGGCAAAGGCAGGAAGATAATGAAGCATTGAGGAATGCAGATTTGAATTTGAAAAAAATGCCTAATAGATAAGGTCAATCAAATTCATATCATAGATGGAGTTATACTTTGCTATACTTCTTTATCACATCTCTGGTCCCTAAACGTGAGTCAATTGGTTCCATTAGTTTGAAATTTGAAAGAGTTCAAACATTAAATATGTTTTTTTACAGTAACTATAATATGATATATAATTGGTTATTTCCTCTTGTCATTTTCTCAATTTGGATGATAAACAGCCAGCTGTCAGGGGGGAATTATCTATCCGCCATGTGGCATATGCCAACCGGTCGAAAGATATTGTCAACTGGTATGGCTATTACATCCTAGGCTGCAGAATCTATACAGAACAACGGTAGTTTACAAAAATTCCTTCCATCGGGATGAAGGTCTGAAGAAAGACTACAATGGTCTGTAACAGAAGCAAGGTAAACAGTTTCATCAATAAGCTACCAACTGCTTTAAAGCTATACAGCCACATTAGCTAATAAAACCAGTTAAATTTGCGCATAAAGCAAAGGAAACATACTCCATTAAATGGATCATTTGCACATTACTTGATGGGAATGTAGCGATTGGTCCATGTCTGGCCCAGTAGTTCTTGAGATCAAGTGGTACTGACAGATCCTGGCCTTCAGCTGCCAGTCGGCTAGTAATTTTGTAAAGAAGCTACCACTCATCTTTCGGCCCCCCACAGGGCATGGCGCTTGTTGGCATCTGTGGCAGCGGGTATGATGACATGGTGGTTGTGCAACAAGATGATTGCCAGCCACCGTTTCCCATTTGTAACATTGATGGGGACTTCCCGTGCATGAGCAAACGGCACAGGCATTGTTGATTCATCAAAATTGATCAGGTTCAACCCTGCATCCGATTCTCCCACTCAGACTTACCTTCTTTCCTTCAGAAGCAACTTTCTTATTCAAATCCTCACCCACTTTCTCACCTTCTTGGTGAAACAGATGCCTTTGACATAACTGCTTTGTTCTCTTGCGTCGTTTTGTCTGATGTGGCTTACCTGTTTCAGAAGAAATGACTGATAAGGGGAAGGCATCCGTTATGTGCACATCCCCTGAATTAAGGGATTCTATTACATCACTTGGATGGTATGGGGTGTGCATACGCTTTCCTCCGCGTTGAACTCCACCACCCACGGGATAGTAACAGAAGTTTCACAATATTGTAATGCGGCTAAGGCATTGTCACGGGCTATCAGGGCATCATCACGCTCAGCAAGGGCTTTATCTCGCTCCTCAAGTGCCTGATCCGAGCAACTAAGGCTTCCTCTTTTCAGATAGTGCCAAATTCCGCTCCCGGATAGCAGCATCCTCTCTGCCAGAATGGCCATGATCTCTTATTCATGATCAAGGCATACTTGGTGGCTCTTCAATTGATGATGGGGCGTCAATTCCACTGCACATGTCATTTATATTTACTCAGTTGGACCATTGAGTAGCAGACAAAAACAAAGATGAATTAACAAGCATCAATAAAAATTGTTCTTACTGCCTGTGTATGTGCCCCTTTGTAATAATCCGGCTTATATCTCCCACTTTCATGTTGCCCACCATCATCCATCTTACGTCCACACACTAGGGAAGTTGATAATTTATCTAAGCTGCTCCTCAAAGTTCAAAGTTCAGAATATTGTAATTCCACCTGTTTTGCAGAAAAGAAAATGTCTTCTTTTTCAGAAAAAGAAACCAAAAGCGAATTTCAACAAAAGGAGCAAGCTATTAAGTAAAGGACTTAGAAACATTGTGAAAAGTAAAAATATGTGCCAACAGAACTGCAATAATATGGCTTTAGCAAGAAGACAAGGACCTAATAAAAGATCTCAAAACAACCACATTAAAAGAGACAAAAACATATAGAAAAGATTTAAAAAAAAAAAAAAAAGTAGATTTCTAGCCATAAATAACACCATGATTCAATGTATTGTATCAAAAAATGAAGTGCAGGTGACTGTGAGGAGAAGAATTCTAGACTAAAAACAAAGAAGAAAACAAAACAAAACAAATTTCATTTCCTCCAATTTGTAACATCAACAAAAAGAGTGATAAAGATTAAAGAGATGGAAATGACTGTACAAATCCATGACAAATGGAGAAAAGTGAGGTATATCACACCCAGTAGCCTGTATTTTGCTACATAATTGACAAATGTAAAGAGGCCCTTATGAGCAGGCCTATTAATGGCATTGCCAGGAATCCCACAGGAAATTACATAGGCAGTGTGACTCAAAAATGTTCCAACATTAAACAGAAAATCTTACCAAATGCCAAGAAGAAATAAGGTCAAAAGCTACAAAAGACACTACATTTAATCAACAAACACCAAACGGTCACATTAACAATGGGAAAGAGGTAATTCTGAAATATTTGCAACAAATGCACCACAATTCAACAATACCTGGTTCCCCTAGCTTATACAGATTGCAAAAATCCGAACTATCCACTTTAGTTGCATAAAGAACTTCTGAAAGTTTGAATCTTTGGCACCATAAACGTTCAGAAAAAAAAAAAAAAAAAAAAACCACCAAACAAATCACGCATTATATCAAATGAACTTACATACCTGCTTTATTTCCATAAATCCAGACCTGAACTTGGCCTTACTGGTTACCCAAACATTATTGAAAGGGAAAAGCTAGTGATTCTTAAAATTATTAAATAATCACAAAAGCTCCAAGCTTTCAACGATCCAAGCTTTCAACGAAACAGAAGATGGTTGAAAACTTCAACCATTTGAACTTTTGTTGACAAAGCATTTTAATCTATACACAGAAATGCCTCGCGCGTCTGGACCACCTTAGATCAAAATTTCCTTCATTAGATGTTTAAAGCTTACTACGCTAATACAAGTTAATCATAAATTAACAAAAAAAAAAAAAAAAAAAACCACACTTTCCAGATCACTACTTACATTAGCATATAGAACCTCAGATTAACACTCAATTAATGCACTCTCAAACACGAAATGAAGACATAAAAACTAGATTTTTAAGCTAACCCAAGTGAAAACAAAGGTAGAAATTGCAATATAAGTTAAAATTAGAGTGGAGGTAACTAGGGTTTTGAAGGTATGAGGTTATAAATCGAAGAAAGAAGGAAACTTACTGGCAGATCTATTACAGACAGGAAGCTGCTTGTCTGAAACTATTTTAGTTGGAAATGAGAGAGACGAGGTGATGTGTAATGAGATGAAATGAGATTGGTAAATGATATTGAGATTATTCTCCCATCTAAACGCAGCGTTTCGAAACCACATCGTTTTTGTCTTTTTTTCACTGCCGGTAGATGGTTGTTGATGAGCTTATTATTTATTAATTTTATTTTAATAGGTTTCCTATTTCTCACTGTAACACGACGCATGTTAATACGTTAAAGTGTATCGGTGCTTTCTTTGACCGAAGATGGGTTTATATTAGTAAAAATCGACTCATATTAGTAGTGTCCAAACGAGTGGTTTTTTGGCTGATTTTAAAGTCCAAAATCACTTTGGAGACTATTTTTGGACTCCCCACAATCTCTTCTATAAAACTCATAACTTTACTTATCGACCTCACTTATTATTTTCGACTACCTCTAACAGTCACTATTGGTGTTAGTTTAAAGTGAAAATCTAGAATAAATGCAATCAGATATCAACTTGAGATTTCGCTGAATCTCTGGATATAAAAAGACCAGTTTTGGATTGTTTGGTGTTATGGGTGGGTTATGCGGCTTTGTTGGTGGTTAATAAAGAAAAATAAGAGTGTTATGCTTGGGAAAATAGGGCTGATATGGCGCCTAGTTAAGTGCAAAAGGCTAGACCTCGGAAAGAGTTTACTGGCATTCTGGCGCAGCCGCATCGTGTGATCATGGTAACACCCACAGCTTGCTCCCGTCAGAATAATGGGTGCACGTCAGGCCAGCCAGGAATTGTGATGATCCCGCATGTCCAATCCCTGCAGCAAATCACGTGAATTACTCTAAAAGAGGGATTTGCACGGATCATCCCACCAACTTACAAATTCAGTGATCATTACCTCAAGGCATCCCACTATAAAATGAGAGCTCCTCTCTCATTAAGGGGATTCGCATATTTTACTCTTGACAAAACTCTCTCTCTCTCTAGAATAGACAGTCTTTGATATCTTGTATCATCAGTGTAAAGTTAGCCGTCTAAAACGACCTGACCCTTATCATTAATAAAAACATCAGTGGACTTAGGATTTGCTTCCTTAGCATCTGAACCACTTTAAAACTCCTTTCTCACTGCAATTAGTGTCATTTTCCTTTCCATTCACGTGTGTCTTTTAGGCCAACTTAACATTTCACACGTGTATTTCGTTGGTGTCAAAATCACGCATCAACAAAGAGTAATATTGTCTTTACTCAACACACCCCCAAGCCAAGGAAAATTACATGAGCCTACCTGAGGTTTTCTAAAAAGACAATCACCTACCAAATGTGATTCAACACACCCCAAAGAAAGCAAAGGCGCCACATCCATTGCTTGAAGCCAAAAATAAAACTCCACGCCTGGTATCACTTTCAAGTCACGTCTTTTCATCACAAGCTCTCTTAGATTCACTTCAAACCATTTAAACTAACCAACTTCCACAAGCTTTCTTTTCATGTATTTCTTCTTTCCTCAGAGACGAATCCAGCTTTAGACTCTTGCGACTCCTTGAGCCTAGTTTTGAACTGGGTTTGTGTCAAAATGAAGTTTTGGCTTGTTGGGTTGTTAAGAGCGGCGTGGGTTGCTGGGACATTGCCTATCATCATTGCTTCTATACCAAGTTCCCGCCTCCGTTCGTTTCATGAAGCTTTGATGGGGTTTGCTAAGAGAGGGAAGATCATGCATTCATCTTCTAATGTGAGTGATCAATTGTTTTTTATTCTAAAGTTTTCTTTTTTTCTTTTTGTCTTGGTGAGCATCTGTTTATTTGCTTGTTAAGAAAATAAAAGCAAATAACATTGCTTTATTGGATTCAACTGAATTAGTTTCTTTTGGTGAATGGCTGGAATTGAAAATTTTAAATGGCAATTAGCTAGCAAGAAGCTAAATGCTTTTAGAATTAAAGTAAACTCCTGTAAATGTGTTTGCAAAAAGACAAAACTTTGCCTACAGAGGAGGAATTCAGTAACAATTTAGAGTTTTAGGGAACTCTTTCATGGGAGTTCAATTCCGGATTTTAAAATGCTGATATATGCAATGAGATAATTCATAAATATAATTATGTTGAGCTAAATAAGTGTGACAATGTTTGCTTTGATTCTCTAGCAGTGCCGTAATACAATATTACTTGTTTGGGGTTGCCATTGAGAAATTGACTGGTTAATGTGTGCAGATAGAGGTTGGAGTACTTTGTTTGAATTAATAGAACCCTTAGCATGCCATATGTTATAGTATAATTCCCATTTGATACCATTAGATTTCACTAATTTACTTATTCCTGGTTTTTAGAAATTCACAGTTCCTCAGAGATTCTTCTGCCATTTCTATGTGGTGGCTGTGGTTTGGACAACCCTCTTGCTTTGTACAACATGGTTATATGCTTATAAAATGGCACCATTGGCTTCTGAGCCATCTCTTTACTCTACTTTTGCAAGCCACTTCACGGGAGGTTCACATATCTTGTAATTTCACAAGTCTCGTTTAATGCCAATAAAGCATAGGTATGGGATTTGGCGGTCAGTCCTCCTTCTCTTGCTGATGGAAATTCAAGTCTTGAGACGCCTTATAGAGACGGTGTATGTGTTTAAGTATAGCCCTTCAGCTCGGATGCACATTTTTGGCTATCTAACTGGCATGTTGTGAGTAGTTCTTACCCTGATATTTTTGCTATGCTATCATCCGTTTCATTATTTACTTTGTAAACTCTAATATTGCTTGAAAATATTTGAATAGAATATGCCTGGTTATAACATTTATGTTTTGATTATTTTTCTGAGCTTAGTTTCTACACAGCAGCTCCATTGTCGCTCTGCTGCAATTTGGCACCAGAGTTGTTTAGATTTGTAGCAGATCTCTTGGTTGAGTTTATCGTTAGAGGAAAGAGCTATAGCCATGGCCATAGCCATAGCCATAGCCATATGCCAGCATTTGAATTTGATTTGTTGGGATCTGTGAATAATCTTCTGAAGCTTAGATGGCTTCAATGGATCGGTGCTGCTATATTTCTATGGGGTTGGACGCATCAACGTCATTGTCATGCTATTCTTGTAAGTGCCACTGTTTTCCAATGAGTTCCTTATCAGATACCCATGTCTTAATTTTGCAATTTGTGTTTTACAAATGGATCTAGTGATACATAATGTTTTATAATAAGTTTGATACCAAAAGCTTCTAATGATTTTTTATATAACTTCACAAAAATGTTAGGGGATTAGAACTATGCTTATGAGTGCTGACAGGTTTTACCGACTTGCAGAGAAGTAAACTACTAAGTAGAAGAACTAGAGCATTATAACAATTTAGAATGATATAATTTCCATGGGGTGTTTCTGTATCAAAAATTTTTCATATCTGTGATGAGGCCCATTTGAATTTTTAGCACTTATTCTATGATGTCATTGATTGACATAGTCTCCACTTTTCAGGGCTCACTGCGAGAACAAGCAGAATACAACGATGAGTATGTAATTCCTCATGGAGATTGGTTTGAAATTGTTTCATCTCCCCACTATCTGGCTGAGATTGTAAGCTCTCTCATCTCACACAAACACAGACACAGTTCTATATAATTATATGCCTAGGGCTGGCATTTTTGTTTTGTAATTTGTTGTCTGCAAATGATGAAGGTTATATATGCTGGTCTGTTGGTGGCTAGTGGAGGAACAGATCTCACCATATGGTTGCTTTTTGGCTTTGTGGTATTATTTTATCCTTTAGAACAAGAGTGTTTTTAGTGTTTTGCATTATACTATTCTGCCATTGTTTCTTAGTTGTAACTTCTATTATTCTCACAAGCACTAACTTCATGAATCGGATGGTGGGCAGGTGGCAAATCTTGTATTTGCAGCAGCTGAAACACACAGGTGGTATCACCGTAAATTTGAAAATTACCCAAGCAACCGGTATGCTATTATTCCATTTGTTTACTAGTGCTTGTTGCTCCTCTGTATTTCTCTACACCTTAATTTATGATCAACATCAGTTTGTTGAACATTTACATTGTAAATTCCTGGCTTATCTATCATACATATGCCGGTGAGTTAAATTTACCAGTGCTTGTATAGTCTGTGAATAAGCTGTCCCTTCTCTGTTTAATAAACACCTTGGATAGCTGAGATTTAATACAACTTATTTGATATATCTGAGAAATGATACAATCAAAATTTAATCTTAAGCATACTTAAGCATACAGATCTATGCCCCAAAACTTAGCTGGTTGGTTTGTCCGGTATTTCCTGTCCATACTCTTAATCATATCCATGTCCTCTTTGCTCTCCTCAAACTTAAAAACTTGATAATTCTCCTTCAACCTCTCAAGCTTCGACGTCTTAGGGATTACAACCGTGTTCCACTGCATGCCCCATTTGAGAACAATCTGGGCAACAGTCTTCTTGTATTTCTCAGCCAGACCCTGTTGACAAGAAGATTAAGATTAAAGTTATTGGCTAATAAGTGCTCTAAAGGAAAATTTTGTGTAAGGAATGAACAATAAGGTATATTTCACAAACTTTGAGAACAGGATCATCCAAACATGAACAGTGCCGAACCATTCTATGTTGGCCACAGCACCTCCGAGAGAGGAGTTTGTGCTGTAACACAGATCCCATGCTTCTGACAGAATTTTACAAGAGAATCATGTTGGAAGTATGGATGAGTTTCGATATGATTCACAGCAGGCTTCGGTTTGGCATAAGCTAAGCAATCTCTTGTTAGAAAGATGTCATAGTTGCTGCAACTAGATCTTCCATAGCAAGCCAGGTGGTTTCTAATGAGATAAGTTGTATCTATCTCCAGGACACCATCCTCATCTAAAGCACTACCAGTTCCCCTAACTGTTGCGTGTATGTATGATACAATAAACCATTCAGCAACCCATTTCACCACCAAGGTTGAATAGATTATCAATTAGTTTGGCAATTTCATAGACAGTATCAAAGCATTTGTATGCCAGATGTGCATGGCAAAGTGCACAAGGTAGAGATCTAGATAATCAAGTTGAAGCTTCTTTAGACTGTCTCTTGCAGCTAAATGTTTGTACAACTAATCAAAACATGGTCTTCAAAATAAATTTGAAACCTGGTCAATCAAGAACACTTATTTCCAGCATCACAAAATTGAACCACAAGTATGCAGAAGCTAAAAGTAGTTGCTATTTAAACATGGAAGATTTATGTTGAAGTGAAACATAGACATATGTTATTATAACAGAGAAATGTAAAAGAACCCACAAAAAGAATTTTAAAAAAATACCAGCACAGTCAAAATGGCAATAGCCAATCTTGATGGCATTGATGATGAGGTCTCTAATGTCTTTTCCTTCCATTCTCCAAACACTCAGACCAACTATAGGCATCTTGAATCCATTGTTAAGTGTTATTGCCATTGTTTTCTCTGCCGAATCGCTTGGCTTGTTAATTGTTACTTGTGAGTTCTATTTCAGAGTTTCATCTGCTGGTTCTGGGTTCTTTTAACTAGAATTGCTTTGCTTATCACTAATCGTTTGTATTGATAAAGTTGCGCCAATGCGACAGTAGCCGTTTGTGTTGAAACCATAGCCAAACACACACAATAAAAGAAAATAGAAAAGTAAATAGAACACCTGGTTTATTCTGATTAAAGAACTACGTCCAACATTCCAATAAAAGATTTTGATTAAGTTTCAGAACTTTGCAACAGTTACAATGAATAATGAAGGCAACAATTACCCTGAATGCGTCTACGTGCAAATTATGAAGCATATCCAACAGTTTGATTCTATTACTTCTTTACTCTAACATGAAATTTATATGCTTTGTTTGGTGGTATCCTAATTAAGTTATTTTTTCTAATTTGCAAACCACCAATGACCAAACAAAGGCTAATCAATTTCAAGTACTGAAATTGATTATTGATCCCTTATGAAGCAAGAACCAAACATGGCACAAATGAGTCCAATACATTTATTTCTAATGAGAATGGCAAATGTGAGTCTCATTCTCAATTCCCAGAAGGCATAAAATACATAACATAAATCATCATATACTTATTTATGCATAAGGATCCATGCCCCAAGCTTTGGTAGGATGGTTTTCTAATCATCTCCATGTCTTCTTTGGTTATCTCGAAGTCGAAAACAATGAAATTCTCCTTTAATCTCTCAACAGATGAGGTTTTCGGAATGACAATGGTGTTCATCTGGATCCCTCATCTCAGCACAATCTGTGCGACACTCTTCTTGTACTTCTCAGCCAAATCCTGTCACAGGAGACTTGATATGTTACTGGACCAGTATTACAATATTTTCCTGAAAAAAAAAAGTTGTAGGAAAATAATTAATTACTAAATGGGTTAATTATCCTAGTAATTAAAAACCGAAGTGAAAATTTTAAAGTATGAATGAACGACCTGATGCCAATGCTGCGAACTAAGCCCATTGAAACCAGCTTTTCCATATCATGCCAGGTGGTTTCTTGTGTCAATTTCAAGCACTCCATCGTCACCCAAAACACTGCCAGTAGTACCAACTCCTGCATGTATTACAGATAAAATTCATCATATAATCCTTTGGGTTAAATAACTTAATTTGGAAAAGGGAAGAGAGGATGATGACCAAGGTGCTTGGAGTTTGGAGGCCGTGGGAAAGTGAACAAGGTAGAGGTCCCAAGTAGTCAAGTTGTAGCTTCTTCAAGCTATCTTTACAGGCCTCTATAACATGTCCATGGTCTGAATTTCAAAGCTGATGAAATGGAGGAAAATGTGAGAGTCCCACACCGACTAGGCACGCTCAAGCCTATTGATTTATAAGAGGGGGTAATCCTCCCATTCAACAAGGCCTTATTGGGTGAGGAGTCAGGCCCACCTCAAATTCTATCATGCGATCAGAGCCCAGGTTCAATTGAGCTGAGTGTTTGACCAGCGAGTGAGGAGTTTGAGCTAACAACTATCTCCATTAACAGGCATGACCCAACATATAGGCTTACCGTGAGGGGGAGTATTGGAGTCCCACACCGACTAGGCACGCTCAAGCTTATTAGTTTATAAGAGGGGGTAATCCTCTCATTCAACAAGACCTTATTGGGTGAGGAGTCAGGCCCACCTCAAATTCTATCAAAAAACAAGTTTTTTATTTTTTTTATTTTGAGATTAAAATTTTTGCAATAATTAAAGTTAAACTAGCCTTGGTGGTAATGAAAAGATCCTCCCTCTTCACAAGCCTTATCCTAAATGCCTTATATATACGTCTGTTTCAGTGGAAAAGTTTTCTGTTCTGTGTATGCAGGTGCAACAGTTAGAAGAAATGGAAGAAAGTGAGAGAGATGAGGGTGGATCATACCAGCACAATCAAAATGGCGATAGCCAATGTTGATGGCATTGAGAATGAGGTGTTTAATGTCTGTTTTATCGTTGCGCCAAACACCAAGTCCCTGATTGGCACTGTCAAGTCAGCTCCCACCACACCAAAGGCGACCCAAACACTAATAGAAACGAACGATCATTCCTTTAAAAGGAATGACTTATTAGATTAAATGTGATGATCAACAATCTCATCTAAAATAAAATAGAAAAATGATATGTTTATAACTCAATCTCACAACCTTCTCTTTCAACCCTAACATGGCAGCAGATTGGCACAATCATGTCAGCTCCCACCACACCCAAGACGATCCAAACACTACTGAAAACGAACAGTCGTTCCTTCAAAAGGAATGACTTATTAGATTAGATATTATAATCAACAGTCTCATAAAAAATAAAATAGAAAAATGTTATGTTTACAACTCAATCTCAGAATCCTCTCTTACAACCCTAACGTACCAAAAGATTGACAATGTCACGTTAGCTACCACCATACTCAAGGCGACCCAGACACTACTAGAAACTAATGGTTGTCCCTTCATAAGAAACAGTCATTTCTTATAAAATGAATTATTGTTCCTTCATAAGGAACGACTATTCGTTCTGTGTGGAACGATTATTCCTTCATAAGGAATGATTGTTCTCTATGAAATAACGATTGATTTTTTAGTCTAGTTAAAATCATTTCTAACGTTATAGTGTTAACTCAACTACCACGTCGAGGTTATAAGAGAAATTTATAATGTAAAATCTTGATAAAATCGTAACAACATTTAATGCATGGTTGTGGATACTAGCCCACTCGTTATTGCCCTTGTTTATGGCCCATGTTAGGCCTCATACGCCTTCCATGGAAGCTTCGGCGTTTGATCATTGGACTCTCTTGTGTTGAACAAAACCTATTGTTTCTATAAGATGGTGCTGTCTGGGCTTTTTCTCACAACAATTGCAACCCAAAGCAGGAGCCAGGCTTGTAGCCCAAACCCGAACGGAATAGGTGGCGAATTATCTTCCACTCCTTTCCCTTCACGACAAGCATAATACTACAAAACCAGAGGGAGATCAGATCGCAACTGTCTGTTAAAATCATTACGCAACAAATTTTATTTTAATTCTTAGATTTAAACGACTTCGTTTTTAGATCCACAATCTACCATGTCTTCCTCTTTCAGCGGCGATGAAACGGCACCCTTCTTCGGCTTCCTCGGCGCTGCTGCCGCCCTCGTCTTCTCCTGTAATCAAACCCTAACCCTCTCTTACTTTAGCTGTTTATTTTGACAATTAATCGAAATTAATCTTCCCTTGTTTATTCATGTATTATCTGGAATTATATGTTGCTTAAATTCGGATTTTAGATCAGATTTTTTTTCTTAATAACTTTAGGCCATATGATCAGAAATAAGTAATGCACAGATTAAAATTATTAGGTTTCTAGTTTGATCTAAAGATCATTAAATATCTCTTGATTTTATGAATTAATATAATCCTAAGTTGTGATTTATGACTGGCCGTTAATTAAATCATATTAAACTTGATTGAATTTTTTATTGCTTGCTTGGAAAAGAATCATAGAATTAGAAAGTAATCGAAAGTTTCGAACTTGTATAGTAGCATCCTCAAAATGTGTAAAAAATGTTAGCAAGTGAAAGAACATTTTTCACTTGTTTAATTGTAGAAGTTTTCTTCCCAGCTGCAAATCAAGTGGCTTTTTGGGTATAAATTATAGCGTGTATTGGTTGTTTAGGTATGGGAGCTGCATATGGAACAGCCAAGAGTGGAGTTGGTGTGGCGTCAATGGGTGTGATGAGGCCTGAACTGGTGATGAAGTCGATTGTGCCAGTTGTTATGGCTGGTGTTTTGGGTATTTATGGGTTGATTATTGCTGTCATTATCAGTACTGGGATTAATCCTAAGGCCAAATCATATTACCTTTTTGATGGTTATGCTCATCTATCATCTGGTCTTGCTTGTGGTCTTGCTGGACTTTCTGCAGGAATGGCTATTGGAATTGTCGGTGATGCAGGTGTCAGGTATGTTTATATTCAGCGCATACATTAGTGGTTTGTTTATTTCGTCTGGTTATGATTAATGTATAAATATTCTTGTTGTGTTCCTTCTAAAAATCCATCCATTGTCTTTGGAAAGAGTAGTGCATTGTTTTAACATGGGTGGCAACTTATCAAATTGGTTTTTTGTTCCATTCCTGACAAACAAAGTTTTTACCTTGCTTCAGTAACATTGATTAGTATTTCACATTTTATCATTGATGGCTTTACTTCTCGAATTGCCGCCATGTGATACTTCATTCAATGATTTGGAACTTAATATTAAAAAAATTAGATTTAATGGTATGCACTAGTGAATAGAATAAATCAACTGTTTGGAAGTTTTTGTTCAAGAATTGGCTAGTCAATGGAATGGCATATATTGGGGGAATTAGCAACCATGAAAGCATTATGAAGCTAGGGGTTTTAGCTCTGTTTTTCTTATACGTTCTTATACGTCTAAGTTTGATTACTTCTCCGAGAATTCATTCTGGAGGATTTTAGGTATATCATGGTATTTTGTATTTTGTTTGCAGAGCTAATGCACAGCAGCCAAAACTTTTTGTTGGAATGATCCTTATCCTCATCTTCGCTGAAGCACTTGCACTTTATGGTCTTATTGTTGGCATCATCTTGTCTTCTCGAGCTGGCCAGTCCAGAGCAGACTAAGGAGGGAGTTGCACTGCCTAGTATTCTTTAATCTCTTGTTGTTTTCACTCCTGGAGAAAGATTTTTTAATTGTTCTCAGGTCAGAAATGATTCAACAGCACTTGCAGGGATCGCAAAATCTGTTGTGGAAGATACGGCACTGCCGGTCAGTTGGATACTGCTGTGTTTTTCTAGAAGTAGGATTGAGTTTGTCTGCATAATAAAGGTGGGGAAGGTTTCCTCGTTTGGTGTTTTTATTTGTCTATGTATTTTGCAGAAAGTTAAAAACACTTTAGTAAATTAGTGCATGTATTATCTTTTTATCTTTTTAACCTTTGCAGCATTCCATTTTAATGTAATCTATGTTGAGTTCAACCTTCTATTGATAGCTACAACTCTATTCCTTGATTTATATTTCAAAGCCAACGAATTGTTTTACTGATTGATTAGAACTATGTAAAACATAATTCATAGTTTCAAAATCTTCCATTTATATATTGGAAATTAATCTTATTATTGTTACATAACCATTGGCCGTGTGGCTAGACGGCAAGACTTTAGTCATCTAGGTGGGTTATCCAGATGTTTTGTATTCGAGTCCCACAAAGTGGTTACCTATTATATCAGGCTTGTACGGTGTTCAATGAACCTTGGGGTTTACACATTAGGCTTGTACGGTGTTTAATGGACTATGGGGTTTACGCGTTGAGCTTGTAAAATATTCAGTGGATTTTGAAGATTAATTTAGATGCGCACAAGTCGGCTCGAGTAACCTTGTTATCAAAAGAAAACAAAAAAAAGTTTTGTTAAATGTTTAATTTTCTTGGGCGGTTAGTTAATCCCAAAATTGAACAGAAACATTGTATATATATTCATATATTATAGAAATTTTCGTATTCACTTCTTAAGTTTGAGTTTGACACTAGAATTTTGCATTTTTTGGGAAACGAATATGAACGGCTTCGGCTTAGGTTTTGTCGGTGTAAATTTGAGTTGAAAATTGGAACTTATGATGTTTGATAAACAAGTAACAATGACCTTTAATTATGTAAGTTTCTATTGGGGCTTTATTCCCGTGGTAGAATTTTATTATAATGTTAATTTTCTGGAGTTCACTGTATCATGGCCTACAAAATGCACCACCATAAGATAAGAATTATAAATTATGACCTTATCACATCATAATATAGTTTAAGTGTTAATGTTATAGATTAAATTATGGTAAAAGTAATCAAATTCTATTGATTTATACACAGCCGAAAGATCATAAATTTCCATTATTTTAATGAAATCACATTGCTACCACACACCTTCTCCAGGATCTCCTTCAATCAACATCATCATCTTAGATGCTTTTGCATTAATTTAGCAAAAGAAATAGATAAAGTGATATGATATTACACCCAGATAAACAAAACATTAGAGATAAGGTTAAATTAATGAATTGAAACATAATCCAAATTTATAATGCTTCACTTCGTCATGTATAGTGGAATCTGTGGAAACCCACAAAACCCCAGTTCTTTTTACTATAGTGTTGCTAAGTAGGTCTTGATCCATGACATTATCAAATTAATATTATTTATGGGTTTAGTTTAATCTCATTTTTTCTCCACATGATTTTATTTTAATGCCCCCGAATTTTTCAATACATTATCATCGTTTTATAGTACTAGGATGTGCATGATTGAGGAAGGATTAAATCTTGTATTAGTACATTCCACTATGATGTTAACCACCATTGGGTGGCCTAGCGGTCAACTATGACTCTTGAGTGTATTACTCAAAAGGTCTTGAGTTCGATCCACTTTAGTTGTTAATAGGTGTGGTTACTGAGAAGATTTACCCTGTTGTCACTTTCAAGACCTCGAATGATTAGTTCAGGTGTGTCCAAGCTAACTCGGACACCCTCGGTCACTTAAAAAAAGAAAATTGCGAAGTGGGCTAGTTGAGAAACCCACAAAGCCAATCTTAAGAATGGCCAACAAGAGGGGTTTCTGGTATTGTTTGTCATCGTGCATTAAGAATGAGAATGAGATAAACCCATTTCAAAAGTGTTTCTAAAAAACACTTTATGAATGGCTGTTTGCGTGACTAACCCAATCTTAAGATTTTTTTTTTTTTTAATTATTATTATTATTATTATTATTATTATATATGTGGAAACCAAGCGATTCCATGATTAACCACACATTGGCTTCAAAGTGACCAAAATTTTTAGGTCTTTTGCAGAAGCTAATTTGGCTTATTACTAGGTTATATTATAACAAGTTGTTTAATTAGTTTAATTAATCACTTTTTGTGTGGTCCAAAGGGCTAAGAATTACCATTCAATCACCTAAAAGGGGACCAGTATGCCAATAGGAGATGATTCTTTTAGAGTAAACGACTTTTTCCCACCCAAGGTCTGCCTTAATGACAATTTCTCGTCCAAAAAATTTTAAAATGCCACTTTCCCGCTTAAAGTTTATATTCTATTAATATCCAAAATACACTTCACTTTCTCACTCGGTGTTTCGCGATTTACCATAAGCTAGAGTAAAAGAGGTTTTGTAGAGTGAAGGTCAGTGGATTGAATGGTGAGTTCCCATGAGTTAGGGTAAGAGGAGCTTTGTAGAGTGAAAGACAGTGGATCAAATGGTGGCGATTGACTGAATATTCGCCGTCGGAAACTAGCTAAGAAAAGGAAACCCTAACTTTACGGTGATCGGCAATCGACGAGAAATCAGGTATCAGATTAAGAGGGTTTTGTAGAGAGGAGACCGAAAGTTCAAATAGTAGTTACGGAGAGAATTTTTACCATCAAAATTGGTAATAATCGGCTTTGGGTAATAATAGAGTATAAACTTTGGGTGGGAAAGTGTCATTAAGGCAAACCTTGAATAGGAAAAAGTCGTTTACTCATTCTTTTATAGATCAAACCAAAAACTTGCTCATTACTCCAAGAATATTAAATAAATAAATTGATAACCTTTGGATAGCTAAAATAGTCAGGAATATTCAGATTCAATGTCTGGAAAAATTAAAGAGCAAAGATAAGATTAAATTATGATATTCAGAGAAATGTCACATGCTCAATTATTTTCTTTGGATTCTCCTGTTTTCAAACGACACTTGAATTATTAATTAAAATTAATTATATGTACTACCTTTTTAATTAAGCAGTACAAACACGTAGAGTGGCTGTGGTAACTGGTAACCATGACGCCACCTGTCATGATACGTGTCAAAGTACATAGGCTTCGTTTGATTGCCAATTGGGAATACTACTTTTAGTATTCCCAAAAAAGTTAAACAGTAAAATATTCAAAAACTCTAGTTTTTGGGCATACTACTCTCAGTATTATTCAATTTTTTTTTTAAACCCTCTAAATTTGTTAATTTAATTAAATATCCTTAAATATTTTTTAAAAAATTACAAAAACACCCCAATAATCCACATTTACCATATTCTGATCGAAAAATATTAGATCGGTGCACTACCGGCCATATTCAGTCGGTAGTGCGCCATCCTACCAGATTCTGGCCACTACTGTCAGAAAATAGCTGGAATATGATAGGATGGCGCACTACAGGCTGAATCTGGCTGGTAATGCGCCGATCTAGCCTTTTCCGACCAGATTGGCCGTTGACGGCCAGATCTTTGGTCGTAATCAGTCGATAACAACGGCCAACAAATGGTCATTGACGAGCAAATACAGCCAGATCTAGTCATAGATCTGGCCTTTTTCGACCAGATCCACCGTGGATCTGGCCGGAAAAGGACATATCAGCGTAAGACCAGCAAGATCCAACCGGTCATACACCGATGTGGCGACTCCGACTACCCTCCGACGGTGGTAGCCGACTGTCCGTATTTAAGGATAGATTGGAGGTGTTTTTGTTAACTTTTAATATTTTATTATAGGGGTGTTTTATAAATAAACAATTATAAGGGTATTTTATAATTTATAAATCCTACATTTTTAACTTTTTTCAAAAAACATTTTCCAAAAACCTAAAATTTTGAACCAAATGAAGCCGTAGTTTTTATCTCCATGCAAGTGTTTATTAGTTAATTTAATAGTATTTTTTTTTAATATTAGATAAAAAATAGAAAGAACAATATTACACTTATAAAATATTATAAATAATTTTTTCTTATAAATATAACGTATTAGCTTATAATAAATATCATTTATATAATAATAGATGTTGTCAAATCAATTATAGACTATTAAATCATGAATTTTGTCTGCTAAAATACAAACCGATTAATTATGAATTACCAAATCGTGAATTAATCTTTGTTAGAATATAAAGGGTAAACCAAGGATTATACTTTATAGAGTGAGGGGGTGATGATTTGTATATGACGTGGCGATAAGAAAAGATGTTTGTTTTGTGCCGGTATCACGGGTCTGTTACAGAGAATTGAGTAAATTATAATTAAATAAAATGGAGAATCTGGGCCCGCACTAAACTTTTACTCACCACCAGTCCACCACCGCTCTTCAATTACATTAAGCTCTTAGCTCTATGTGGACCCACCCCTCCTCTCCGAAATAACCGCTCCTCTTTCCTCCCTCCCCCAGATTCCTCTCTTATAATTTCATTACAACAACATAAGAGGTCAAGGGATAATGGCCACACTACACGTGAGGAACATGACATGATCAGTGTTTCACCGTTTGTTTTAGATTCTGGTCCCACCCCAAAATCAATTGCCTTTCGTCATGCCCTTCCTCTCTCTTTTTTTTCTTTTGGATGATCAGAAAATCCGATTAGTTTATACGTACTTCAACTAATCATCTAGAGTCTTGAAGTTGACAGTCGAATAAATCTCTTTAGTGACCACTCTATTAACAATCCAAATAAATCAAATTCAGGACTCTTTGAATAATACACCTACATATCCTAGTTGACTCTTCAATTAAATTGTTTCATCAAAATTAATGTATTTAACTGAATAATACACCTACATATCCTAGTGGATCTAGAGTATGTTGAGCCCACCCTCAAATTTTTTTTTCTTTTTATGACAATTTCAACTAAAAACATATAATATGAATATTATATGCTATTACGTTTTATTTTAACCCACTCTAACAAGAATTTCTGGATCCATTACTACTGACCAACTTATGTTGCACCTTAACTAATCTCTTAAGATCCTGAAGTTAACAACCAAGTAAATTTCTTAAGTGGGGATCTAACTTAAAATCTTTTAAATAATATACCCAAAAATCTTAGTTGACCGTTTTCGGTGAGCAATTAACGCTCATATTATTGAATATTGATGCATAAAATAGCATGTGAATGTGGGCAAAATTTCAAAATATAGGGAGGCTTACCCATCAAAGCTTACCAAAATAAGAATACTTAGTCAATGATGAGATGTTCAAGTAGTAAGCGCCACTAATTGGTTGCCGTCACACATCAACACCCACCAATTTGACGCCATCTGGCTAAATCAACGACTAGCATCTACCTTTCTAGTCAAATGGTCAAATTACAAATATTATTGGTTGCGGGTAAAACAAGAACATATGTTGGGTCAAGACTTGTATACGTCGGACACCTCTAGTCTTCGCACATGCCCGCAAGGTCCACTTGGTCTTCATTTTTTAATATTATTAATATTCATTTCTACATTTTTTGGGCATTGACTTTACCCCACCACCACCAACCTAATTGTGTTTTCACTATTACATTCTTCTATTTCGTACGAGAATATACACCTTTCATGTTTTTTAAATTATCATATTTTTCTTTAATATATATTTAAGCACCAACTAATATTCAATCAAGATTCGAGTCCTTTATAATTATATAGACGCGTTTTAAGTCAATAATGCTAATGTGATATTTGAAAACACACCAAAAGGATATAGAGTTAATGACTTTTTCCCACTGAAGTAATGGTTTAATGATATTCAAATTTATATTTCGATAGTGAACATAGAGCAAACTCGGTCTAAGTTATTATAATTTTTGAAGAGTGAAGACTGATGAGTTTTTTGGTAGTGGGATGTTGAATTTTAGTGGTTGGGATTGATTGAAATTTGACTTGGGAGAAGCGGTTACGTAAACTCTAATTGCTTGATTACCGATGATTGACGGGGTCAACAAGAGTAAGACTTTAGGGGTTTTGGTGAGTGATGATTAGAGGAAGAGAATGGTAGTGGTGTGGGGTCGCAACGATGTCGGAATTGAAAACGAAATATAAATTTAGATAATAAAGTGATATTTTAAAAGTTTGTAGATAGAAAAGTGTCATTAAACCATTATTTGGGTGGGAAAAAGTCGTTTACTCATTTATATACTACAAAGCATGTATCCCTACCCTAAAAACAAAAAAAAACAAAAAAAAACCAAAATGATAAAGTCGCCTAAGGTTGTACACCGAATGACGTGGTAAAATCCTGACCGTCTATTAATATTCAGTTAAAATTAATCAATGGTCAATATTTTATCACGTCATTCGGTGCATGAATTCAGTATACTACTTCGGTGACTGTAGTATTACTAAAAAAAAAAAAAAAGCCTTGTTAACAAGTGTTGTTGTGGCTTAAAATTAAATTTTAGAATCCAAGGACTCTACCATCAAGTTACGTTACCGGATAAAGTGTTTGGTAACATGGATTGATTGTGTCGTTGAACTAATAAAAGGGCAGAAAGGTAAAATACTGCGATGGATGAGATAACTTTTTTGAGTGCATGGATTGGCATCATCCTGAGGAGCGACGTGGATATAGGCTATTGGGTTATTGGTGCGTAGAGGAGCGGCGGAGCCCCCCTTGATCCATTTATTCTTGAGAATCTAAAGCGTATTGGGAAAACTCCAAAAGGATAAAGGGTAACCTCGTAATTTCGTGCATGTTAAATACGCAAGCTCTGGCGTCTTACTGAAAGAAAATTTTTATCAAATACTTTACACTGCCCGTTCCGGACTCGACTGAGTGTACCTGGCCCAGGTAACAACCTCCATTACTATATATATATATATATATATTATTTCTTATATATTTTATTGACTAAAATTATTATTTGGTCGTGCACTTTTACATATTAATTTTATAAAATAGTTAATTGTTGACCAATTTCTTAGCAGTTGAACAGTTATCTTTAATAATTGTTTTTATGAAAAGATTTCTACTTACTTAGGACAGTTATAGATACATAATTAACTAGATAAATATTGTTTACGTTATTAATTTTATATATATGTATCTTTAATAATTGTTTTTATGAAAAGATTTTTACTTACTTTAAAAGGAGAACAGTTATAGATATATACTTAATTAGATAAATATTCTTTACGTTATTAATTATATATATATATATATATATATATATATTGTAACTTGAAATGTGAGGATAATTGAGTGTTAAAATAGAGTTAATAGACCTATACTTAGTAGACACATTTTGAGCTTGAAACCCAAGTTGAGTTATTTATTACACCTTCGCAACACGATCTTTATGAATGTTTGAAGTGTCACACCACTTTCGTGTGAAGAGTTAACGACTTTTTCCCAACCCAAATAATAATTTAATGACACTTTTCTATCCATAGGTTTTTAAAATACCACTTTAGTACTCAAATTTATATTTTGATAGCGAATAGAGAGCAAATTCAGTCCAAACTATTGGGGCTTTTGAAGATGGGAGACTGATGAGTCTTTTAGTGATGAAATATTGGATTTCAGTAGTTGGAGGGGCGGCTACATAAACCATAATTGTTTGATTGTTGACAATTGGTGAGGTCAACGAGAGTAGAGTTTGAGGGGTTTTAATAAATGATGATCGAGGAAAAGAATTGTGGTGATGTGAGGTTGTAACGATACAGAAATCAGAAACGAAATATAAATCTAGATAGTAAAATAATAATTTAAAAGTTTACGAGTAGAAAAATATCGTAAAACCATTATTTGGGTTGAGAAATATCAGTTTAGTGGACCGGTAATAGCAAAATAGACTATGTTTGGTAAATTATCTATAACAATATCTACTTACGTGTAGGATACGCGTCAAATAAACAGGCAATTGGGAGTTGTCAACATGGTGGACAAAGTTCAAACGTCGAATTTTAGTTAGAGATTCTCGCGATAAACTCAATATCTCGCAAGTGGCCATTCCCTGTTTTAACCCTCTTTCGGCCGCATCCATTAACTAACACATTTATCACTGGTCCCATTCCTGCCCTTAATGTTTCAACGGTAAACTTAATATAATTTTTATAAATCATATCGCGCCAATGTCTAGGCGACACGTAACAATTAAACGGTAAAGTGACGGGGTTGAGTGAACTACATGGCACGTGACCAACACATGCAGATTCCAATTGTGTATTTCTCTCGGTGTTAACGGAATCTGAAAACAAACGGGCAACTAACTTCTGCTTACGTGGCAGAATCATGTCCGTTTAAGGTATCCAAACGGCGCGGAAACTTCCGCCCACTTTCCTCATCATAATATCAGTGAAATAATCACAATGGGGTCCCAATTTATCGGCGTATTTTAGAAAGAAGCCTTGGGAGAGAAACGCCTAGGAAATGGTCCCACATTCGTAGGCCACGCGGCAACTCGACGCTGATCAACCTAAGGAATCTTATAAACAAAATTAAAATTAAAATATAATATAATAAAAATAAACAAACAGATTCAGTGATCCACCTTTTATGACTAATGGAAAAGCTGAAATAAATATAGAGAAATTCAAAAAAAAAAATGCAGATATTTGAGCGGGCCGAAATAAATGGGCCTGCGGCCCATGAAGCCCAGAACTCACCCCCAACTTCCTATATAAATTGACTCCGCCTTTCATGCAATTCTCGCTCAGTTCCACCTCGTTAGACATCTTCTTTGAAGATTAAACGAAACCCTAGCATCCATTTCACCTCTCTCTTTCTGTGTCTTTCTATTCATTTTAGATTTCCATCCTATTTTTTATCACTTTCCGGGAAAATCTCCGGAGCTCTCTCCCTTCTACTGTCTTTCATTCAACAAAAAGCCAATCTCCAGATCTCATTTATATCAAAACAACCTCCCTTCATTTTCTTTGTATTTCCTCTTCTTTTGTTGGGTTAGTTATTGTGTTCAGATCTGCATGCTTTCTGCATTTCTCGGTGCATAAATCTTTTCTTCATTAGGTTTCATTTCTCTTCTGAAGGTATATGTGGGTATTGCCGCGTATAAGAGGTTAAAGCGGCGGGGCTGTCTTTCCATTGTAATAGATCTTCTACTGTCATCTTTTGAGGGGGTAGCCGGGGCCTCGGCCTCGGCGGGTTTTAAAGCCCCCACCTTTACAAACTGGAGAAAAAAATTCAACCCTAAAACACTAACCCCCCTCATTTTTTCTTTCTTTCTTCTCTAACCCTTTTTTTATTCATCAACCTCGCGGAAGAGGATCATGCCTGCCCTCGCTTGCTGCGTAGACGCTGCCGTAGCGCCTCCTGGCTACGCTGCTTTTGCCTGGGATGGCACGTCCCTTCCCGCTCCGTTCACCGTCCCCACCCCCACCGCCACCATAGAGAGTGATTCACATTGGTCGCCGTCTCACTCGGCGGCCCTCTACAAAATCGACGGATGGGGCGCGCCGTACTTTTCCGTCAACTCATCCGGTAACATGACCATCCGTCCTTACGGTGTGGGGACGCTGCCTCACCAGGAGATTGATTTGCTTAAGGTTGTGAAGAAAGTTTCGGATCCGAAATCAACTGGCGGACTCGGGTTGCAGCTTCCACTTCTTATCCGTTTACCCGACGTGCTTAAGAACCGTCTCGAATCTCTGCAGTCAGCCTTTGACTTCGCAGTACAGACTCAAGGCTACGAAGCCCGTTACCAAGGCGTGTTCCCCGTGAAATGTAACCAGGACCGCTTCGTTGTGGAAGATATCGTCAGATTTGGGTCGCCATTCCGGTTCGGGTTGGAAGCCGGGTCAAAACCGGAGTTATTGTTGGCCATGTCCTGCTTGTGTAAGGGAAACCCGGAATCTCTCTTGATTTGCAATGGATTCAAAGATGCAGAGTACATAAGTCTTGCTTTGCTGGCAAGAAAGCTAGCTCTAAACACAGTGATTGTATTAGAGCAAGAAGAAGAGCTTGATTTGGTTATTGATATAAGCAAGAAACTGAACGTCAGGCCAGTTGTCGGAGTCCGAGCCAAATTGAGGACTAAACATTCGGGTCATTTCGGGTCGACTTCCGGTGAGAATGGCAAATTCGGGTTAACAACTGTTCAGATTTTGCGTGTGGTCAGGAAGCTTGGACAGGCTGGCATGCTGGATTGTTTCCAGTTGCTGCATTTTCATATCGGATCCCAGATACCCACTACGGCGTTATTAACTGACTGCGTTAGCGAAGCTGCACAGATCTACTGTGAACTAGTCCGTCTCGGTGCCAACATGCAAGTTATTGATATCGGAGGCGGGTTAGGTATCGATTATGACGGGTCAAAATCTGGTGACTCGGACGTTTCCGTCGCGTACAGTCTTGAAGAGTATGCAACAGCTGTGGTGCAAGCAATTCGCTATGTCTGTGACCGTAAGAATATCAAGCACCCTGTGCTTTGCAGCGAGAGTGGTCGTGCTATAGTCTCTCATCATTCTATTTTGATCTTTGAAGCCGTTTCTGCTTCTGCCCCATCTGCCCTGGAGATGAATTCCGTTGGTCTTCAGTACTTAATTGAAGGGTTGACCGAAGAGTGCCGTTCTGACTATGAAAATTTGAAAAGTGCAGCATTGAGCGGTGAGTTTCAGACTTGTTTGTTTCACGCTGATCAGTTGAAACAAAGGTGCATTGAACAGTTTAAAGACGGGTCCCTTAATATGGAACAATTAGCCGCGGTTGATGGGTTGTGTGAATTAGTTGCTAAAGAGATTGGTGCGGCAACTGATCCAGTCCGTACATATCATATGAATCTATCTGTTTTTACTTCAATTCCTGATTTCTGGGGGATTGGCCAGTTGTTTCCTATAGTTCCGATTCACCGTTTGGATGAACGGCCAGGAGTGAGAGGGATTTTGTCTGATTTAACCTGTGATAGTGATGGTAAGATTGATAAGTTTATTGGTGGTGATTCAAGCTTGCCTTTACATGAGATGGAGGGGGGTGGTGGTGGAGGGAAGTACTATTTGGGGATGTTTTTGGGAGGGGCTTATGAGGAGGCCCTCGGAGGAGTCCATAACCTGTTCGGTGGCCCAAGTGTTGTACGTGTTTCGCAGAGCGATGGTCCTCACAGCTTTGCTGTGACTCGTGCTATGCCAGGCCCGTCTTGTGGGGATGTCCTCCGAGTGATGCAGCACGAGCCCGAGCTCATGTTCGAGACCCTCAAGCATCGCGCAGAAGAGTATTGTGGTGACGGTGACACTGATGATGATGACAGTAATAATAATAATAACTCTAATTCTGCTTTAGCTAGCAGTCTTGCTCGCTCCTTCCACAACATGCCTTACCTCGTGGTGCCGGCTTCTTGTTCTTTGACCGCTATCAATAATGGCGGAGGGTTTTACTATTGCAACGAGGATGATTACAGTGCTGTTGTTGATTCTGGTTCTGGTGAGGACGAGCAGTGGTCTTATTGCTATGCTTGATCAAATTGATGATGATGTCTCTGTGGACTATATGTCCCTTTTTTTTTTTTTTTTTCCCTTAAATTTTAATTTTCATGGTTCTATTTTTATCTTGTAGTTTTCATTTGCAAAAGATGGAAGCATGCAGTTGAACATTGAAATCTTTTGCATTTTCTTTCTGAAGAAGAAGGGATGGGGAACTGAATCCACCCTTCTGTAAATTCGGGATCTTTGTTCCCTCTTTCATTTTTTAATGTCTCAGTGTAGTAGACTTGATATAACTGAATGGTTAGTTGATGATGTTGCTTTTCGAAAATATGAATTGCTTTTTTCTCTTTATTCAATTTTGATACTCTGTAGGGCCTTGGATTGTGTTCTGCAGAAAAAAAATTAAATGCAAATAGGGTCAGCCTTTTGCGGAAAAAAGGCTCATGAAATCATTCTTGTGGGGTCTTTTTGTCTTACATTTTGTCTTTAGTTAACCGGTTTGGCGTGCCAAGTTGGAGGGAGGCCCAAGGGAGGTTCTGCTAGCTGCTATTTTCCCAGTCATGAACCGTATCTGGGTGTCAATTACGATGTGCTTGAATATTTCATGCTTTATCAGCACTGACTTGTTTTAAAATACGGTTAGCTAATATATCTTGGATGGTTCTCTCAAATGGTATCACGTTTTTTGACCACAATTTTGTGGGCTTTTTGTTCAGCCTCAGGACCTCTTGTGGTCAAGATTGGATGCTGTTATTATGATGATATGTGAAGAATGGTGTTTCTTACTTGTGGAACACAACGAGACTTTAAATTTGTTTAAAGATTATGAAATAATATAACCTCCCTCGACAAAATAAAGGATATTAGCAGTGACCCACATCAGTCATTGTCAAACTAGATGAATACATGAACCAGATACTGAATAATCCATCCATAAATATCTAAAGTTTTGTTTGGTTTGTTATTTTGGATAGGATTTTAGAAATAATATTGGATAGTTGAATATGGTGATTATTAATAAAAAAAACATGATAGTTTTGTTAATTTAACTAAACATCCCAATATATAAAATTTTTTAAAATGACAAAAAACATCTCCACCCACTCACAGTGTCAGATTCCCGTCACCACCGTCAGAATCTGGCGTTACGATGCAGACTGTTGGATTTGGTTGGATGTACATCGATCTGGCATTTTTCGGTTATATTCACCATATTTTTCAGTTGTTAGGGTGTTTTTGTAATTTCTAAAAAAAAAAATTTGATGGTATTTTGTTAAATTAATAAATTTATGAGGGTTTAAAAAAATTAAATAATATAGAATAATATCTTGAGAATAAGTCATTTTTACTATTTAATTTTATTGGGAATACTAATAATAGTATTCCTAAGAGTGAACCAAACGGACCTTTTATGAGATATTATTCGACAAGGATGAATGAACAACTCTTCCCTACCCAACATTCAATGTAGAATCTCAAAACATCCCACTAATTAATTAAACTAGTTAATACACACAAGAGCCAGCCACCTTCTACGAATGGAATGACTCTTCAACATTATTCCCAGACAGAGCTGGTCTGCAATAGTGTAAATTCTTGGTCTTTGTTTTACAGAATATATGAACAAAAGTTACCCGTTTACTTTCCTTTTATAATTTATTAAATAATATTGACACCTTATCTTAAAGAGAAAAGAGTGAGAGATAACTCATGGAATAATGAAATTGGCATAACCAGTGTGGAAAATTTATAGCTAGGTTGAACGATGTTCCCTACTTTATTTTTGTTCATTCATGGATTCACTATTGACTAAAACAAAACTTGTGTTCTAAGTGTATGCAGAAGTAATATGAATAAGTTTACTCTTGTTTCTTTATATAAAGAATATATTGCAGGAATCTCCCTTTTTCAAATATCATTTTGACGATATTTCTCTTTATAAAGCTCTGTTATGCCTGAAAAAGTAGGGTTGACGCAGAGCCCGATCAGCGTAAATGGTCAGAGTCTAGGCAGATCTTACAGCTGTTCAGACGCAGCCACGTCGCATGCTGGCTTGAGCAGCATGCTCTTGCCAGTGTAGTGGGTGCGCGCCAGACTGACGAAAGAATGGAGGTCGTCCACGTGTCCAACCCCTGTACCAAACGAGAAAATCACTCGAGTGGGTGAGCAACGAGACGCAAAGAAGGATTTGCACGGTGTCTGTCCCCATTTTATGGATTCTGTAATTATTACTCCAATACATCCTACTATAAATAGAGGGCTCCTCTCCCGTTTGTGGGAGGGGCTCATTTTCACTATGCAATAGCTAAATTCTTTCTGTAATAGCTTAATCTCTCCTCTGTAATCATTTGCAAGTCAGCTCGCTGAATGCGACCTAACACTCCATATTAATACAATATCAGTGGACGTAGGAGTCACTTGCTTAAGCATCCGAACTACTTTAAAACACTGTTTCTTCACCCATTATTCATTTCACTACTCCCATTCGCGTGTGTCTTCTGGACCCGCTCAACATTTCACACGTGCATTTAGTTGGTGTCAAAATCATGCATCAACAAGCTCCAATTTCTGTCACCTTCATTTGTGAAATTTTGTTTTATGTCTGCCACCAGAACTTCATAATGTTTGAAGAATTCAATAATTCTGTTGTGTGTTAAATCAAAGAATATGTCCAAGTTTGATAAAATGGTTAAGGTATATATACCGGGAAGATGGAAAAATCAAAAGAAAAAAATCAATTAGCTCTGTGTCCTTTCACCCCTTTTGCAGGATAGATCAGAGCTGAGAATATACCTTTGTTCTCATGTAGTGACACTTTGTTCTAATACGAATCACCCAGTAGTATTAGCTTCTTGAGCAAGTTTAGCATAAACTTCATGCCCTCTGGCCTTAACATTAATAGTCTTATAGTTTCATCATCACCATCAATTTTGGGTAGCTGAAGCTGCATTTCAGTCTGAGTTTTGCATACTTGAACTGAAATGCAGAACAAGACTTCCGTTTCTAATTAGAACTCGAAACGATCTTGTCTACTGTTTTTCAAGTAAAAAAAGGATTATTATTATGCTCCACCTTTTTCTTTTAGATTGTCAAAAGTAATGCTATTATTAATGTGAGGCCTGCAATAATCTGCTTCATTGAAAGCAAACTCCAGAATAAATTTTCCACCACCCTCTAGGATTTGGCATTGATCTTATGTTTTGTTCTTCGCAGATAAGAGCATTGCACAAAGATTATCATGGCAGTCATGATCAACCTACTTTAGTCTCAAGAACAGTAATATTTTTGGCAAGAGAGGAATAACATTAGCATATTTACTGAGATGATGCTAGTGACACTTGGCTGGACTAGATCATGATGTTTCACATCGCTTCTTCGTCGCTTGTCATATCCGAGACAATTCGATTGCTTTCGAAAGTGATGGTATATAGAGATGGAAATGGGCTCGATGTTTCCAGGTACCCGGCCCGGCTTGGCTCGAAAAGATCGGGATTTACCTGATGTTCGTGAGCTTGGGCTTGTGAGGTACGAGCTGGGCCTGGGTATGTCTTCAGGCCCGGCCCGATAATTTTGGTATTAATTATACTAAATTACTCTTATACTATATATTTAATTACAAGATTGTCCTACATATATATACTCATTTTTCCCAAATCCTACATGGATGGATGGATATACTTTGTGGAAAGTTATTGATATATTTGGTGAGTATTAAAAAATAAATTATATTAAAAAATTGTTTATAGAATTAAAAAAAAAATGAAATTTATTAATATTTAAAAATTCACATTATAAAAATGGGCAGGCTTGGGCCGGGCCTAAGGTTACAAAAAGCCCATCGAGCCGGGCTTGGCATTTACTTGTGATACCCGTGACGGGCTTGGGCCTTTGTTATGAGGTCGGGCTTAGGCTTGGGCCAAGGGGTACCCAGTCTCAGCCCGGCCTATTGCCATCACTATTGGTATCCCTTTTCCTGATAGAATTAAAGACTGATATTGTGGTGAAGCCTGAGAATTCAATGACAAAGTTAAAATGTTCAAGTGGATTCATAATGGGGTTGTATACTTGTATCATGCAGCTACATTTTGCAGCATGGTAGTAATAAAAATTTGAGAACAGATGAGAAAACTCTTGTTTAATACATTAAGAGCTCTAGTATTTGTTCAAGTAACAAATGGTAAACAAAATTTTGGAATTCCTGTGAAGATGCAAATGCAGATGTATGTTTTAGCAGAAATTTTTTTCCACTCTTCATCTGATAGCAATAACAGTGTAAGCAACCACCACTGGGTGGTCCAGTAGTTAACTAGGACTCTTGGGTGTATTATTGAAGAGATCCTGAGTCCAATTCACCTGGATTGCTAATAAGGGTGGCTACTAAGGGGATTTACTCGATTGTCAACTTTAGGGTCCCGAAGGATTAGTTGAGGTATGTATAAGTTGACCCGGACACCTCCGACAACAAAAAAAAAAAAATTGACAGTGTGAGCAAATCTCAAACAGTATGTAAATGGGCCAAATATTGATGGAGTCCATCTAGTAAAACCTAAGTGGGCCCCATGCGGGGCCCAAAATCCCGGGCCAAATATTGAAGGAGTCCATCTAGTAAAATCCTAAGTGGGCCCCATGCGGGGCCCAAAATCCCGGGCCAAATATTGAAGGAGTCCATCTAGTAAGATCCTAAGTGGGCCGCATACCGGGCCCAAAAGCCCAGGCAATCCGAAACAGACGTGGCGGATAGCAATGTGGCGTGCACAATACGTACGTAAGCGCATCTTAGTAATTGTTCAATACTGCATCTCTCTCAGATCAAACTCTAACCACAACGGCTTCTCTCTCCCTCTCTCCGGTTAGGTTTTTACGATTCTTCGCTTAGTTTCGTAAAATTAACGTACTCTCTATTTTTATATTCTCTAATTTCCCTGTATTCATACGCTGACGGCATTTAATTGAGTTCTAATTTAATCTAATTCAATTAAACAGTCGGTTTTGTTCTAATACAACTTATTATTGTTTGGTTGCCGAGAAAATTCCGTGAAAGTTAAAATTGACATGGAATGAAAGTTTTGTTTTGTTTTGTTTTGTTTTTTTTTTTTTTTAAAGAATCGGCGATTTTCTTTTCTATCAAGTAATTGTTGTATAGCTTGAGTTGGCTCAGTTTCCAAGTAATTAACTCTTCACATTCAATATTCAAAATTTCTCTTTTTCTCAGCTGCGGAATAGGGGATTTTATTTTATGAATATTGTGTTTGGATATTATCGTTAACAGTGAGTTTTATTTTTTTTATAGGTAGCTGGAAGGTTGATATATTAACGTTTTTTTACTATTATACAGGATCGAAAATGGTATGCTTCTAATTTATGCAATTTATTTCTTATGTTGATTGTTGTAACAAGCTGCTTGGAATAATGCTGTAGAGTTTGATGATTGTTGATGTGCTATGTTATATTTTCTTTGTATTTGAAGAACTTATTTTGTTGTTTAATGTTGGTGTTCAGTTGATTGTGAGACAGTATGTTAATGAGTGGTGTTGATTTAGGTTATTTCAATTTTTATGTATTTGAACATGAGTTTCTGATTTACAACTTCGAGAGCGGCTACTTCAATTCTTTCAATCTTGTCTAAACCCATACTTATCATTGAATTCATGGCAGTCAGATCCTCTTTGATGATTTGTACCTATCTCAGCACTGGACTTCTTTTGTTGTTTTGTACTTTTAAACTGAATAAAAAACCTCTATGCACATTTCTTTGTTTTGTTAATTGTCTGGGTAAGATTCAGACCTTTGAGTTATGCCAAATCTTTTGCCTGTGAACATCATGAATCCAGTTCTATTAGAATACTTTTTACTTTGACTTGTTGCTGTCTCCATGTCTTATTGTTTTTTTTTTTTTTTTTTTTTTTTTTAAAGAATGTTCTAGCTGAAGTCATGTGCATAATGTCATGAGCAACCAATTCCTCATTGCATCCCTATCCTCTCCATCATTGGGTTGCTCAGATTTTATATTTCACATGATGGAAAGAGTAGCCAACTAATTTAAGGAGAAATTTTTTTAGAGATGCATCTATATACTTGGAGAATTTATCCATGGAACTGTAATGGTTACAATGTGGAGACTTAAAGCAAATTAAACAAAATACTGCTACTTGTTAGTTTTTTTCTTTTCACAACTATATTTCACCAAGAATTCTTGTTTGCTTTATCATCATGTAGCATGGTAGAGAGTAATATGTTAATACGTTTAGTGCTTATTTTTGAAGTAGTTGAATGTGTTTTTCCTTCTTTTTTGGGTCATGTGGAATCCTATGTATCATAAATATAGATGTATTGATTCTTCTATTATTGTTCTTCACTTTGTTGGTGTTGATGTTGTAGTTTTTCGATGGATATGGATATCATGGGACCTCATTTGAGCAGAGTTATAGATGTTACCCTGCATCTTTTATTGAAAAGGTTGGAAATCCTATTTCATCTTGTCCCTCTTGAATTTGCTGATAACTTTATGATGTTATTAGTTCTACAAATTGTTTTTGCAGAACACCTGTATAATTTTATTTGTTAAATTCTTTTGGTGCTTTTTCTTAATGATTCTAATTTCCTTTTTTCTTGACCATGCTGCAGCCACAAATTGAAAGTGGTGATAAAAGTGAGTCTTTCAATTGTTGTGCTTTTAGCTTCTAGATGTTTCTTTCTCTTAACGCTTTCCTAATCTCTTTTTTATTCTGTTTTTCAGTTATAATGCCTCCCTCAGCCCTTGATCGCCTTGGTTAGTTATTTTAGATGCATTTCTTTTGGGCTTTGATTCACTTACGGTTGTTTATCCAAATTTTCACGAGTCATGATCTATATCTATAATGCTAATGGTAGACACAATCTTGCAGCATCTTTGCATATTGATTATCCAATGTTGTTTGAGCTTCGGAATAATAATGCTGAGCGAGTCTCACATTGTGGGGTTCTGGAGTTCATTGCAGAAGAAGGCATGATCTATATGCCATATTGGGTAGGCTGGAAAAAGTGTTTGCGCATTTACTTAGAATATTTTGAGTGATTTTCTGTATTGTTCATTGTAGCTGGCAAAGACCTCTTCTAGTTATTTAATATCAATTGTTTTGGTTTGATTTTTGTTATTTAGATGATGGAGAATCTGCTCCTCCAAGAGGGTGATATTGTACGAGTGAAAAATGTTACACTTCCCAAGGGAAAATATGTTAAACTCCAACCTCACACAAAGGACTTTTTGGATATTTCTAACCCCAAGGCCATGTAAGTACATTGTATTTTATTTTCAGTTGCTAGTTTGGATGAGAGGTAGTAAGGTAGTAAAGAATTGTTAAACTTTGATGCTTTGACAAAAATGGGAATTCTCCATGTGAAAATCATGTTGTTGTCCTTTTACAGATGCTTGTGTTCTTAAGAAGCTGCTTTCCATGTCCTTTAATTTGCTGTTCCTGTTGTGTATCATAGTGAATTTATCTAACCTTGATGTGCCTGCATCTGCCAATCCCTTTAATATTTTGTGGTTTTTAGTCATGCCTTTGAAAGATATATATCTTATTTATTGTTTTTGCATCTTTCTTCTTCAGCTTGGAGACAACACTAAGGAATTATTCCTGCTTGACCACTGGGGACAGTATCATGGTTGCGTATAACAATAAGAAATATTACATTGACATTATAGAGACAAAGCCTTCTAATGCAATCACCATCATTGAGACAGACTGTGAGGTGGATTTTGCGCCACCCCTAGATTACAAGGAACCTGAAAGGCCTATTGCATCTGCTTCTGGAAAGGCAACATCACAAGGTGAGAATTTGTTAATACCTTCCCAAGTTGTTTCTGTCATTATCATTTTTTTTCCCCCCCTCTTTTTATGTTCAATTATGCTTCTTATTTTTATGAAGAGTTTACACATTATACAGGATTAAAACAATTTTCAAACTTCTCTTTGTTTTTAGTTGTTTTGCTTAAAGTGATTTCTGTCCTACATCCTAGCATATCAGAAATGAGATTTTTATGCACTGTCATTTGCCAAGTTATCCTGTATAAAGATTTGATCATGGTTAGTTGAACTCACTTCCTTGCTGATTGTGGATCTGTTGTGGGAGAGTGAAATTTCTTTTTCTTGTGGTTACTTAGGAGTCCCTTTAAAATTTGTTGTGAGATATTGATGGACAGTGATTAAACCATCTCTTTTCTTTCTGCAGTTGAGGAGGCTTCTGTGGAGACTGAACCAAAATTCAGCCCTTTTACTGGATCTGGGAGGCGTTTGGATGGGAAACCTTTGGCATATGAGCCTCCACCAGTTTCTTCCTCAGTGTTTAAGGATAAGCAACCTGCCGTTGCTAATAGTAGTGGAAAACCTTCTGCAGGCTCTAGTTCACAGAGTGCCGCAAGCCAAACTCAAGGAAAACTTGTGTTTGGATCAAATGCAAGTCGGGCTCCCAAGGAAACACAAAAGGTATTCTTTGTTTTAGCAATCTTTATTATTTTTCTATCAGTTTGGTTACCATCACTCAGCTATAACTGAATTCCGAAAAAACAATGGAACGGAACACTGGTATGAGCTGCTAAGCAATTTTGTTTTATACCATACAGGAAGCTGGAAAAGAGAAAAAACCGGAGGAACCCAAAAAGAAAGAAGAGCCAAAGTTCCAGCCCTTTACTGGGAAAAAGTACTCACTGAAGGGTTGATTGATTTATTTATCAGATTTCTTTCAATTTAATCTTCCTTGTTCCTTCCGGCTGAAGGAAAAATTACAGAACTAAAATGATCTGGATGTTGTATCATGGAAAATGCAGACTTTAGGCCATCATGTTACACTGAAGAAAAAGAGAATTTATGTTATATCATATCCTGTTTGATTATGAATCATTGAAATACCTGTTTAGAGGAGGGGAAAAAGAAGATTCAAATCTTTGCAATTTGTGCCATTTGCATACACTTACATGAAAAGTTTTAAGGTTCATCCATTTAAGCACTTTTTTCTCTTCATCCTTATAATAACCAATATGATTGATAGCTTTAAAATCAAGTATGTGGTTTGGGTAATACTATATTGACCAAACGCACGTAACGTTTATCAGAAAAGTTAGAAAGAAGTATTTATCGATCTGTCTTTATTCTTATTTATATTGATTTCAAGCAATGTTGAGGAAATTTACAGGGAAAAAGTGTTTTCATTTGCTGTAGATATGAGCATAATAGTGTTCTTAAAAGAATAATACAAACAAAAACTACCAAAAAAAAATAAATAATAAAAGGCCCTCTTGGGTAGACGACAATGTAACATCAAACTCTCTGTCTTGTGATACTGTGGAAGATTAAGACTCTCTAACCAAAAAAATAAACAATGTTGATGCTATGAGTTACATATGCTCCTTTCAAGAGAGAATGGCTTTGAGTGCATCCTTCACATAGGGGTATTTGAATGAGAAACCCAATTCTTTGGCTTTAGCAGGCACCACTCTTTGCCCGTCTAGAACCTGCAAATCAATGAGATAATTATGGTTTGAGGACAAAAAACTTACTCAAGAATGAAAATGTGAATGACATAAAAGAATTAAAGGCCAGAAAAAAGTAGTCTTACCACTGTAGCACCTTCTCCAAGAACAGCCTTCAGGGCAAAGTCCGGCACAGGCAGCCATGAAGGTCGCCCCATGACATTGCCCAGATGGTCACACATCTCTGATAATCGAACAGGGTTTGGTGCAGTTCCATTGATAACTCCTAACATTTAACCCACTAAAACTGAGTTCAATTATTGATAATTTTGTAAATCTTTCTACTATTTTGCAACTAGCAAACTAAAACAGAAGTGATTTGAAAAAAAAGAACTTTAGGCAAGAAAATTGGTTTCAATCCCACATTCATGAACTTGAGTCAATGATCATTACCTTGATAAGATGGATTTGATAGAGCTTCATATATTAGGTTCACTATGTCGTCCAAGTGAATCCATGAAAACCTACGCAATTGGAAGAATAAGCGACTCTTTTAAATTATGGAGAAGGAATGTGGAGACAAGATACGGATTAGAACCATATCCAAGCAGTCTCAAAAAAATATATTTAAGAAAGAACTTTTTTTTATCAGCATTTAGGAATGCCTTTCTGGTGCAAAATCAAAGCATTTTCTATTTATCTCCACAAAGCTTATCATGGTGCCGAGGAAGACACAGTAATTACCATTGTTTGCCAGAACCCAAAGGTCCGCCAGCAAACATCATGAAAAGAGGGATCATCTTAGCTGCAGCAGACAAAATATTGACGTACTCAGATAGCATCAGAAGTAAGAGTATATTGTCAGAAACTATAGATGCATCTATATAAAAATTTTCCCACTTAGACTAGATAAATGCAAACCCATCTGGATGAGACAAACAAAAACTTAAGCAGACCAAATAAAATCAAATTTCAGACAATTGAAGCAGCATCTTCCTCATATTTATTAGTTGACACACAAAACTTGAATGGCAGAACTCAGGTGGTGAAAATTTAAGAAGTCCCGTAAGCCTGACTAGATTGGTCATAACTCAGACACTAATTTAGAATCATCAGCTAAAAATTTAGAAAAAGAAATAAAAAGATAAGACCTAAAAGATAAGCCATACCTAAAGCACCACCGTCTTTACCAAGAACAACGCCAATGCGAATAAGTGCTAATCTTACATCCTTGTTCACTTTTAGGGCTGTCCCTTCCCACTCTCTACAGACCTGAAGATATGTGTTGTGTTAGTGGAATGCATGAATATTGACAACATTGGTGTTTATGCATGTGTAAACAAAGTTGGAGATTTTGTGTCATGGCTTTGAAGCTAAAGAAAGCATAAACTTCCCATCATGATTAGTCAATTATGTCACTTTGTAGAAAGTTGTTAGCAGCTAACAAGCTTTTAGCATGTAAAGGGTTGGGCCTCAAATTAGTTGTTTATGATTTTCATGTCTACAAAACAATTGCTAACCTTCTTTTCCAAAGTCACACCTCCATTAGCAGTCCCCTCAAGAAACAACAATTTAAAAAGACACAATAGACTGAGACATTACCAACATGCCTTGATTGAAATTTTATAAACACGATATAATCATCTATAGATATTACAGAAATCAAACTCTTACCTCGGCCAAGTAATCATTTCCTGATGGGCTACCCTCATCAAATACTTGTGTTTCACTGGATCCTACACATTTAAAAATATAATAAATAAATAAGATAAGGAAATATAAACAAACCATCAACTTCAACACCTGATAGATAAAGGATTTAAGAAAATTTAATTGAAGAATCAGAGTAGTTTAGGTTGACATGTGTTAAGAATATCTCACACTAAAAATATTTCACCATTGGCATGACCATTTATACTAAAGTTAGGTCTTTACATCTTGGCTAGAACTTTTGGGTTGGTTATGACTAACATGATATCAAAGCCAAGATTTGCAAGTCTGTAATCCATAATGCTGTTTATTTGTTTTCAGGTTTGAAGCTCCAGTCGTAGAGCCTGCATGTGTTGGGGGTTTTGGGGAGGGTTGTTGGAGTATGTCACATTTGTTAAGTTCACCATATGGTATGCTGGTTATACTGTGAGGGCCTTCATCTATTAGCTTAGCTTTGAAGATTCGAGTTGTCAAACAAAATGCTAATCAAAGGAGAAAATTGTATGTTGGAAACAAACCATAGTAACCAACAGCTGTTGCGCTAACCAACACAGATGGCCGAACTCCTTCTGGTGACCCATTAATTAATTCTACAACCTTCCAAATTAGTTAAAAGTCAAGTGAACACAAAGGAAATAAAAGATATAAGAGTAAAAATTGTAATAAATAAATAAATAAGGACCTTTGAGGTCACTCTAACCCTGCTTCCCTTGATCTCTTTCTTGATCTGTAATACACAATCAGAGAATAAACTCCACAGCTTATAAGAATAAATAACAAAATATGTCATCTAATGTTCTCATGGTGGTCTTTTAGTTCACTTCCGTCAAATTCATCCCATGTTCACTACTAACTACCAAGTGACCTTGCACTGCTTACCTCTGAGGACCATCTTGTACTTATAGGCATTCCAGCTAAATTTACGACAGCAGTAGAACCCTGAATACAGTCTTTCCACTCTGGCTCCTCCGCAATGACAAGTCCAGGAAAGACTCTGGCTACAAATTCCAGCATGCAACACAAAAGATCAAGGAGCAAGATTTATAGAAGAATCACTTGTTTCAGAGTCTCCAAAAGCATAAAAGGTTTATAATCTGAATTTGTTAGACAATTTGTTGAAGTTTATGGAAATCAAAATTATATATGAATGCTGCAAAAAATAGAACATAAAGAAGTCTATATTTTTCCAATTACATTTGGTTTCAAAATGCAACCACTAACCAGTGGAAACTAGCTTTATTGAAAGAGAAGTTTAACAAATTAAGCTTCATAATCAGTTCTTTTTGATTAAATTTGTGCAGAAAATTGAAAGTATTCATTACCTTCTTACCGGGAAAAATTAACTGAGCTTTAAATCTTGAGCGTGTCAAGACACGAACTTGGTGATTATCTGCATTCCAAAACGGATTAAGAAAATCTACTTTAGCCAATCTGATGTATGGTTGCTTCATGACCACAAACATATAAATACAAGTTTTGGCTTTTGTAACTATGAATAGATGGAGAGAGAAGAACCTGCTTGCAGTCTTTCCACTAATCTTTTACCTATGAAGCCCGTAGCTCCTGTTACTGATACAGTCATCTGGGACAACCACCAAAATGTCAACAAAATCTCCAAGGCACCAGCCATTCTACATGACAGTCTCAAACATAAATTAATCATGATTAAAACTTTCTTAACCACAGAAAAACACTATCCTTCATCATCATTGCCATACCTCATTCATAGCATGAAATTCTACTCTAAAAAGGCTTAATAAAATATCCCTGTTAATCAAAAAAAGACTAAAGCAATTCTAATAATGACTGGCAAATAGTATTCAATTTCAAGTGCCCATTTGGCAAATATTGCCCAAATTTTAATTTTTGGAAGTAAAACAAAGGATATGAATAGCACACTGATTCAAACAAGATAAAACAATGACTGTAAACGTTCCATTTTTTCTCTATCGAACAAAGTACTAAAGTTGGATAATTAAAAATAAAGTAACAGTTTTGAGAGCAAAAGCAGAGAACTTGACAATGTAAACCATTTCAATCAATGGTTAAACTCAAAAAAGTAAACATTTTTACCTTCTGGGTTTGGTCAGCATTAGCACACCAAACTCTGAATCTCTTAGTCTCACGCCTCTAAAGAAACCATCAGCATCAGCATTACATAAGCAAACAATTGAAGACCAACAAACAAAATTTTTCAAAACACGAAACAAAAACAAAAAGCTATATATTAAAATCGAAAAGTTGTTCGGTACTGACAGACAAGTTTTGAGGAATGTGCAGAGAAGGAGAGATGGAGTGAGCCCACGCCAATGTACTAACTCTGCACATAACTTCCATAGTTTTGAAGACGGGATTCTTGAGCTTTCAAGTCCAGTTTTATGAGTGGTGAAAGTGATGAAGATAATAAAGCACAGAAATTATGTTCTCAAAGCTTTCTACGTTTATGGTTCAGAGCCACACTCAACTAACTACCCATATCCGTCACCCATTCTTTGTCCAACTCTAAAATCAACACCAACGCTCATTTGGCTAATATCAGCCGCCGGATTCGGGGCTGCTTTAAATTATGGCCGTATGATAATCCTGCTTCAATATTTTTTTTTTTTTTTTAACTGTTTTTGGCACGAAGCCACTAATACTACACAACTTCAACAACCGTCATTAACTGGGTTGGGCCTACGTGTCATTGGCCAGCCCAGCCTAGCCTATCACAGCTCAGCCCAGCCCATGTAGCTAATAGACTGGTACTCTTATGAATCTACCTTGTTCTACTGGTGTTTTTGTGTAGTGATTAGTGGGGAGCGAAAGGAAGGATGGCGATGATGCAGTGGTGCGGCGCAGTAGCAAAGAGAGTGCTGGTGAGTCCGCGAGCAGTAGGTCTACCATCGTCATTGGCGGCGGCTCCGATAGTGTGCGGGCGGGGCGACAAGAAGACGAAGAGAGGGAAGAGATTTAAGGGATCGTTCGGGAAATCAAGGCCTAAAAAAGAGAAGATGATAGAGCGTCTCAAGGACAAGGTTGAGGTCCCCAGGTCAACTCCTTGGCCTCTCCCTTTCAAGCTCATTTAATTTAACTCCAAATTACTATAACAATAACCAAAAAAACTTTCACTTGCTTTGTTTTCGTGCCTCTCTATTTGTAATACCATTTTTTTTTTAATAGTGGAGCTAGGGTTTATCTGAGCTTAATGTATGTGTACATTTTTTATGAATTTTGAATGGATTTCTGTTCCATGGATTTGAATTTGGTATTTTCTGTTAGATTGTTGTTTACATGAAATCTTAGAGTTTTATTGGATTGTTTTTGAGATTTTTTTTTCAGNCTACACAACTTCAACAACCGTCATTAACTGGATTGGGCCTACGTGTTATTGCCCAGCCCAGCCTAGCCCATCACAGCTAAGCCCAGCCCATGTAGCTAATAGACTGGACCTCTTATGAATCTACCTTGTTCTACTGGTGTTTTTGTGTAGTGATTAGTGGGGAGCGAAAGGAAGGATGGCGATGATGCAGTGGTGCGGCGCAGTAGCAAAGAGAGTGCTGGTGAGTCCGCGAGCAGTAGGTCTACCATCGTCATTGGCGGCGGCTCCGATAGTGTGCGGGCGGGGCGACAAGAAGACGAAGAGAGGGAAGAGATTTAAGGGATCGTTCGGGAAATCAAGGCCTAAAAAAGAGAAGATGATAGAGCGTCTCAAGGACAAGGTTGAGGTCCCCAGGTCAACTCCTTGGCCTCTCCCTTTCAAGCTCATTTAATTTAACTCCAAATTACTATAACAATAACCAAAAAAACTTTCACTTGCTTTGTTTTCGTGTCTCTCTATTTGTAATGCCATTTTTTTTTTAATAGTGGAGCTAGGGTTTATCTGAGCTTAATGTATGTGTACATTTTTTATGAATTTTGAATGGATTTCTGTTCCATGGATTTGAATTTGGTATTTTCTGTTAGATTGTTGTTTACATGAAATCTTAGAGTTTTATTGGATTGTTTTTGAGATTTTTTTTTCAGTTGTAGTTGGAGTTATACTTTAGGTATTGTCTGGTTAGTGTTTGAAGTGCATTATTTTGCTTGTTTTGAGCAGAAAATTTTAACACTTATTTTTGCTTCTAGAAACTATAATATAATGTTGCTTTGGTGAAGATAGTTTTGTTGTGGTTTAGTGTATGCAGAAAATTTTAACACTTAATTTTGCTTCTACATTAGGCAATTATGAGGTCATTAAATGAATGCTTCAGTATATGCATCGTGTGCGACTACACGAGACCTATACTTCTTATTGGAATCTATGTTGATGGTGCAAGTTGGTTCAGTTTAAGAGGAGCATGTTTAAGATGGGATCTAGAATGTTTCGTTTGACAAGAGCAGATGGTTCAATGCGGGAAAAAAAAAAAAAAAAGTGTAAAGTTTAGGGTTAACATGTATGGTTTGGGAAATGGTAGAGGTGAAAACACATAGGCTAATGGTTTTGCTGCTTTTGCATTAGATATGGCAGTACATGAGCTTAACTAGATAATAGTAAGTTCATGAACAAATGTGCAGAATTTCTGCATTATATGACATATCAGGTCTGCCTGAATGTGTTTATTGTTTTTTATGTTTGATAACAATAATTAGCATATAGTGAAACAGAAATAGAAGAGAAAGGAGAATGCTGTGAATATTTACACCGGGGATGAGTGCTCTTTTATGCAAAAACCTGCTGAGACTTGATATGTTCTGTAGTAGTGATCCGGCAATTAAAAAAGTTGGTAGAATGAGTGTTTCTAAGAGACTTCTTGTTGTGGTTCCTGTAGGCAGCTTGTTTGCATTTTGTGCATTCTCAAGTTCTATTTGAGTCCAGTGGACAGTTTGCTCATATGTTGTGAGTCCCTTTTGTTTTACCCCAATATTTTGTTTGTTATCTAGTTTTGTAAAAAGCTACTTAAAGTATCAGAAAAATGTGAAAGTAACGAGTAATATTATAGGTCAGTTTTTGTGTTCTTATTAATGGAATATAACCTAACCATGATTATTATCTTCGCTCAGAGGGAACAAAATTTATACAAACAAGGGGCTAAACTTCTTCAATTAGCATAGCCTTTCACATAAAGAAGATATAGCTGGTGTTTGATTATTTCTATATTAGTCAGGTTTATCTATATTCATGTATATAATATTTTGCTATTATAACTAGCATATAACGAATCCGAAAAAGAATAGAGAGGAGATTATTGTGAGAGTTTGGGAATGTCATGAAGCTTCTGATTGAGGAATTGCTTCTGAGGAGCATCTTAATCAGATTACAGATTACTGTTTTTGCAACCAAAAAGAAAAGATTAAGTAAAACGGTATAAATTCTCATGATCTTATATTAGCAAGCCGTTTACACTTCAGGAAGATATAATGTGCAACGCCATTGTCAAACAAAACATTTATCTTGTGTCAACCCTGATGACCACCATTTCCCTTTCTCTCTTTCCACTGCAAACATGCCCGGAAATCCAGCCATAGCTCCCAGTTTACAGCAAGTCCAAAGATGATACTGGGAACTCAAATTGAGGCTGTCAGGAAATAATACTTGCTGCCTCTTCTTGGTTCAGTTGCGAGCCTACATCCGGACATGAACTGTAACAACTGTAAAAGCTGTATTTGTAGCTTTCATCATCCGGACATGAATGGTACTAAGCCTAAGGAGATGTATTCACAACAGAACCTTTGTGGTTCTCAAAGCTGACCATAAAAGCCACGATAAGTTTGCCTTTATTCATGACTTGCTCTTAAAATTTGGTTAAATCATTTTGCTTTGAAATTAGAATTTGGTCTGTTTGGTTTGCGATGGAAGCCCGATAAAACCATAATTTTTCCGTTTTAGGGTTTCTTTTCTGCGGTCTGGGTTAGATGGCCAGAAAACTATATTAAGAGCTAATGCTGCAATTTATATATTGTTGAATGAAGTTTTCATACTTGAGGACTTTTGAAGAAGCCGAATCACAAGCCTTCATTTTGTCGTCTGGTATGCATTTCTGTTCATTGGTGTTTTGAGTCTATTTATCTATGGTTTCCAATAGCTTAAATTAAAGAGCGAATTACAAAGTAGACAAAAATATGAAGGATACAAATTATTTTTCATAAAACGAGATGCATGAAGGGGAGCAACTGAAATCTCCTAATGTCATTAAAATTTCACAACTCCATTCATCAAAAAAAAAAAAAAAAAAAAAAAAAAAGGGAAAAACACAGAGTATGAGCCTTCGACATCATTTTCCGAGCATAGCCATGGATCAACTCAACCTGCACACCAGCAAGAAAGTGTTGCAAATTCAATCTTTTTGACAAGGAAAAGCACACACACAACAGGCCCTTGTCCTTTACCAACATTGTGATCCCTCGTGTTCCAAGACCCGTCATGTACTTCTTTACAAATCGAAGTGTAAAGAAGTCATGTGTGAGTGTTAGGCTGCTCAACACATTTCCGAATAGAAGTTAAGTGCATGACAAGTGGTATCAGAGCCTCAGTTAGCATAACCTCGGTTTTTATTCAATGACAAAAGACATTGTCGCTTCAACAAAGGGATCTAAGACGGTTGATATGGAGACTTCCTAAGAACATGGTCGTCCGGAGAGAGTCAACTCCAACCCCTCAAGGCAGAGAGGTAAGTCCAAAGACTTTATTTCCAGTTTTGACTCACGTCTATCTCGTATAGAAAGAAAGAGTGAGCGCACAGTCAGAAGAGCTAGATCATCGGGTGGATGATCTAGAGACGGAGGTTACCGAAACTCACACTGTTGCGAAAGTCATGTTGCTTCAATTGGAGAAGTCATTAAGGGCCGAAATGGGGAAAATCCGTGAGGAGTTCGTAGGGGAGCTTACCAAGACCCGTCATGTGTTCCAAACCGAAGTCAACAGTACTCTTGTTCGCTTAGGCGAGGTGCAAGCTGATTTAGCGCGATGCAAGCGCACCATGGTTACAAGGATCGGCAGCAACGTCATTGAAAGCCAAGTAATTGACGTTCCAAGGCCTAAAAGCTTTGGTGGCTCACGCAAGGCATAAGAAGTTGACAACTTCTTGTGGGGACTAGACAAGTACTTTGGGGCCGTAAGCGTCACGGAGGAAAGCTCGAGGATTGAAACTGCAGTCCTCTATCTTGGCAAGCTCCCCTACAAACTTCTCACAGATTTTCCCCATTTCGGCCCTTAATGACTCCTCTAATTGAAGCAACATGGCTTTTGCAACAGTGTGAGTTTCGGTAACCTCCGTCTCTAGATCATCCACCCGATGATCTGGCTCTTCCGACTATGCGCTCACCCTTTCTTCTATATGAGATTGGCATGAGTCAAAACTAGAAATAAAATCTTTGGACTTACCTCTCTGTCTTGAGGGGTTGGGGTCAACTCTCTCCAGACGACCACGTTCTTAGGAAGTCTCCATCTCAGCCGTCTTGGATCCCTTTGTTGAAGCGACAGTGTCTTTTGCCATTGAATAAAAACCGAGGTTATGCTAACCGAGACTCTAATACCACTTGTCACGCACTTAACTTCTTTGTTAAGTCCGTGTGGCCTTAACACTTCGAAAATGTGTTAAGCAGCCTAACACTCACACAAAGTCAAAGACTGACAGTATGCAAATGAGAAAGTTAAGTGTAGAGAAAATGTAAATTATGTATTGAAGGATTACAACTTATGAACTTTACAAAGAGTAGTAACCTATTTATAGGCTAAACCTCCTCAAAAAATATGACTAGATACATTGTATACTTAATCCTTAAGTAACACTAAGTTACAACTTTGGGAATGGATAATACTTATCCTTGAAGTTCCTTTGTCATTAAGTATACTTAACCATTAAGTTTACTTAACTATTAAACAACGTACAGCACACTTCAGTCATCGAGTGACTTATTTATGGGCTAAACCTTCTCAAAGAATATGACTAGATACATTGCATACTTAATTCTTAAGTAACACTAAGTGACAACTTTGGAAATGGATAATGCTTATCCTTGAAGTTCCTTTGTCATTAAGTATACTTAACCATTAAGTTTACTTAACTATTAAGCAACGTGCAACACACTTCAGTCATCGAATGACTTATTTATGGGCTAAACATTCTCAAAGAATATGACTAGATAAATGTATACTAATCCTTAAGTAACACTAAGTAATAACTTTGGCAATGGATAATGCTTATCCTTAAAGTTTCTTTGTCATTAAGTTTACTTGGTATGAAGTATACTTAGTCATTAAGTTACTTAACTATTAAACAACGTGCAACACACTTGAGTTGCTTTCACCAAGCAAGTGGTCGTGACAAAATGCTGCAATTTATATGTTGTTGACCGAAGTTTTCATACTTGAGGACTTTTGAAGAAGCCGAATCACAACTTCATTTTGCCTCTGGTATGCATTTCTGTTCATTGGTTGTAAGTCTATTTATCTATGGTTTCCAATAGTTAAGAGCGAATTACAAAGTAGACAAAAATATGAAGGATGCAAATTATTTTTCATAAAGACTCATTTCGAAGTGTTCATGATTTTGTGCAATGTCAAAGAAAAACGAGATGCATGAAGGGGAGCAACTGAAATCTCCTAATGATATTAAAATTACACAACTCCATTCATCAAAAAAAAAAAAAAAAAAAAAAAAAAAAAAAAAACATAAAAAAAAATTTACAAAAAAAAAACAAAGAAAAAAAAAAACAAAAAAACAAAAAAAAAAAAATAAAAATTCAATCTTTTTGACAAGGAAAAGCACACACAGAACAAGCCCTTGTCTTCTTACCAACACTGTGAACAAGGTTGATTTTATTATTGAAATCAAACCACAAATGTGCTGCATTTACAATAAGCAATGTAATAACATGAGATTGCACCAAGTACCCAATATTTAAAACATATATTACACCTAATACTACTTCAAAAATAAATCTTCTGTTGCAATCCAACACCCAAAGAAGGGCAAAATAACTATTATGGCAACCATAGGTACAAGCTACAACCAATTAGCCATCAACAAACGTTAAACAACAAACTATAATACTAACCTTTTATTTATTGCCACGGGAAAGATGTAAGATTTAGTCATTATCTTCCTTGCCATAGTTGTATATTATCTCAATCTGCATTAACAACAAAATCTCAAATTCTGGTTACAAACAATAAATCGAATAAAGTGAAGCATTACTAGCTTTTTTTCACCAAAATTTCAGAACTGCATATTTAAGAACAAAAACAAATAATATGCAACATACAATGTAAAGAAGTGCATAAGAGGAGAGTGAAAGCAAAACACTGTAAGCCATGCCCGATAAAATAAATAATTTAACAAGTGAAAACAGAAGAGAACAATGGATTATAGCAAATTACCCCAGCAGGTGGAGGCGGGTTTCTACAAAACTTAGAACCACCAGGAGCCCAAGGAACTGCACAGAGAAAAGATAAGTAAGTTTAATTTCTTATAAAAAATAAATTAAAAAAGACAGATAATTAAGCTTCAAAAATTGCTGAGGTTAAGGTAGTTCTAAGACTTGAGAAAGAACCATGGGAAAGACTGTTGCATATTCTCACTCATATAAAATCAATCAAGTCTATGCATATTAATAAGAACAACTCCAAAACAGTGTGAATACAAGCACTCCCTAGAAAACTTAACATTTACAGAAGTAGATGCCTTTACTCATATCAAACCACATTAACATTTTTGAGCTCAATAGAGACTGAAAATAGAAGTCTCTTTATTAAAGTAGTCAAATCATACACTCTTTCAAGGATGAAAGCCTAAACTTAAACTCTCTCATTGCAACAGAAAATGTAAGAGGATAAAAAATTTCCTTGATATAAGAAGAGACAAAATAGCATAGGAGAAAGAAAACTAGGCTTACAAGAATTCATAACCCTTATCCATTCTATTTCGTAGTACATTCTGAGTTCCAAAGAAATAATAAAAGAAACAAATAGTTCCGAAATAATTTTAAAATTCCTACGATGATTTTTACAAAAAGAGTCTCCTTCCATTAATTATACACCTTTTCACAAATTTCAGATATTCTTCTCAAAAGTTTCATCATTTCTTACTGAAATGAAGGGATGTTGGCAGGAAATTATACAAAAGTCTCTTAGTTTCTGGGTTTTGGTTACTGTTACTGTTATTTTCTGGGTTTTTGCTTGTTGTTCTTAATTCGGCTGGTTGAGTTGGGAGAGGTATCTATCACAACTGCAGGTCCAAATATAGATTCTTAGTACCAGAACTCTACAATAAAGTACTTACCAATATAAGGATCAGGGTGTCGCCACTTATTATAGCTTGCTTCAGCAACATCAATCAGTCTATCAATTGTGTCAAGATCCTCCTGCAGGTCCACCAAAAGAAAACGTAACCAGATAGCCTAGCACTATAAAGAGCATAAAACAGAACGCAATCCAACTGTTAATTTTGTGTTCTTAGCTTGCTGATTGAGTGGTCATTAAAGCTCAATGCACTATTGTAAAAACTTCACACAAATGAACAACCAACAATCCCAAAGCATGATCATATCAACATCATCAATCAATAGGAACGATATATCACTGTTCTATAAGGAAATGAACAGGATATCAATAATCAGCGTGAAACCTTGTCAAGCCCATCTTAAATCCATGAACACACAACAAACAAGAAATAAAAAAATAAAAAAACCATTTATTGCACTATGATTCCTGTAACATTTTTGCACAATGCAGCCACCATAGTTTACGATACTCAAGCAATTACATGCGGCACTTTATACAAAAAATGCACTTTGCAACTAAGCCTTAATTTACTAAAAAAATTTCAAGCAACTGTGACTAGTAACAGCAATATATTACTATAAAAAAAAATCTAAAATTCAATAAACGAGTATGATGACCAACTTGAAAACTCAACCAATTAAACTAATTCAAACAGCAAGACTCAAGATTACCAACACATAACAATGTTATCTATTAATTCAGTTCAATCAAAATATCTGTAGTCATATTCCGTATTTTCTCCTATATTTATCGATATATTCACTTCAAATACTCTATATATAGAGAACACACACACACACACACACAAAAACAAAAAAAGAATCCTAGCAGGAAAAATATTAGACGAATCGAGAAACAAACGTAGAATTATTTTGAAGTTAATGGTAAGGTAATGTACCACGTGTTTGTTGGCTTCGAACCTGACGCGAAGGTCGTCGGCCTAGAGGAGAAAAAATAAAAATTCATCAGATCTTATTACAACCAATCGAAGAAATTGAATCGAAAGGATGAGATAGATCGGAAATGATGGCAGAGGCTTCACATCTTTGTAAAAGAGGTGGCGATGGACGGCCCAGTTGAGTGTCTCTTTGAGAGCACGGCGATAGAGGATCCTAACTCTCTCTTTTTGCGCGGCTCGCCGCGCCAGGTACCCTGCCGTTGATACTGCTCCGCTCATCTCTCTCTCTCTCTCTCTCTCTCTCTCTCCCCCCGTCTCAGTCGTTCGTTTCTAGAAGTTCCTCTCTTTGCTTATACCCTCTCGTTCTTTTTCCGGAAAAATGTCAAAGAACCACCAAAACGCAGCGTTTCCTATTTTCCAAAGAAAAATTAAAATAAATAAATAATACGTTTAAATGTTTGCTAAAATTTTGTGTATGGAAGGTCGTTTTTTTTTTTTTTTCTTCTTGGGGGGTTTGCATGAAAGCTTGACTAATTTGCTGTGGTTCTGAAGTTAACGACCAAGTAAACCTTCCAATGACCACCTCTATTAATAATCAAGAGAAATTGAATTCAAAACCTTTTAAATAATACACTCAAAAGTTATTATCGTCTCATACGATCACCTAGAGGTGGTTACTTGTGTATAATATGTCTGTTCATTAATTTTTGGTGTTTGATATTCTTGGGTTGTTTTAAAAAATTATTTTTTAATTAAGTATTTTTTTCAAAAAATATTAGTGAAGCTATACAGAATACTTTTTTTTTTTTTTTTTTTGGAAAATGTTAAACTCAACCTCTTCTCACAATCCCGATATGACAATTTGTGATTGGTCAGTTCGTTATAGGTACCACCTGATAAATTGTGAGAAAAGTTTGTGAGAAGAGGTTATAGATGTAAGATTCCTTTTTTTTTTTCAAAAATACTTAACACAACTACTACTAAATGTCATGTCCGACTGAAGCCCAAGTCCGTACGAGACGTAATTAGAATTAACTGGTTTTGATCCATTGGCTAGATTTTACCACTACTACAGGACATATATTCATGTTGAAATCTCTATTTTAAAAACCAGACCGGACCGGCAAGGACTCGGTAGCTTCTTGGGTCCGGTTCAGGTCTGAGGAGGGTTTTTGTAATATTTCAAAATTATAAGGGTTATTGTAATTTTATAAGGGTGTTTTGGAAATATGTCAAAAGTTTAGGGATTATTGAATTTTTTAGGGTATTTTTGAAATAAATAAAAATTTTAGGGACTACTTAAACTTTTTAGGGGAATTTTTGTAATGTATTAAAATTTAAAGGATTAAAATGTATTTTTTTAAAAATAAAATTGTCACTGATTGTCATCGGTCCACCCGTGATCCGAGTAGAAAAACGGGTTGCCCTCCTGTCCAGGTTTTAAAACAATGGTTGAAATAGAAGATACGGACTCTGCTTGAAATTATATTTTGCTTATACACAAAACAGTTAAAAGTTTGGTCGATTTGGCACTGGTTTATCAAACCTCGATTCATATAATGAATTCTGCAAATTAAGAATGAACCAAAACCAGAAAGCCATGTAACTAAAACCAATATGAGAGATTTACACAGCACTATGATGATCATAGTCCATAGACACAAATCAGTTACAACTTCAATCATCAAAAGAATGCTATTAGACCTACCTAATTCAACAGATTCTCTCAATTACTTGTATACATACTGGCTTAAACAAGCTTACAAAAGGGATACCATGCTGTTTTTCCACCCAAACGATCTTCGCCGTGTGACTGGGGGCGTGAAGCTAAGTCCAGCCATTTCCTTGAGGGCTTGCCCCTGCTCTACAAACCTGATCAGCTTTGCGACAATGGCTGCACTCCTTTTGATGTGGTTTATATCCTTTGTATCGCTCCACAATTGGTTGGCCAGCTGTAGCCTTCTACGTTTCGAGTCCAATCCAATATTCCACCTCTCGAAGAGTTTCATCCTCTCTTCTTCTGAAAGCCTTTTACGCATCAGTTTGCTCAGCGTCCCTCTCTCACGATGAAGAGCCTTCACACTGTCTCAGGAAAGAGAGAAAATGTTAGAAGAGGATGTAGAGTCACTCATATACATGACATTTAAGCTATGCACATCCAGAAAGCAAGCCTGCATGAAAGGGGTAGAAAAACAACCTTGAACCAAAAGTAAGAGTTCGACCATCTACAACAGCCTGATTTCCTTGAGAAAATGTTTCCTTGAGGAAGGAAAGTCTCCGATGCTCTACCTCCATGTAAACAGAATCTGATGGATCACCTTTAAAGAGCAGGAAGAAATATGTTCTGTGGATCAATGAAACATTGCAACTTTGCCATAGTTCAAATATAGCTTTTTGCTGTCTCTCAAATACCAGCGGCCAATCATTAATCGCCAATGCTTCATGCATTGGATCCAATCCCACATCTTTCACACTCTTTTCAAAGTTATCAGCTTTTAGTCCTGTCTCCTGAACCTAGAATGCACATGTAGAGCATGCATCAAACAATGTCAAAGGAATCAAATTCATAAGAGACATACTGAAAATGATAAAAATTCTAGCAAGAAGAAATAAGTAAAAGTCGTCACCTGATTTTTGGCCATTTTCTCCAATCCTGCAACAAAAGTATGAATGCTAGTGATATCCTCGTCTGCAGAGGTTTTGATGGAAGCAGTCTCCAGAGAAGATGAAGAATCATTTCTTGATAAACTTGCATTGTTTTTACCATGATTGAATAGTGAAAATTTTCTTCGGAAACCTTCTGGTCTTCCAGGAAAGTTTTTCTCCATCCCATTGGGTGGAGTGCTCTCAATTTGTTCTCCATTCTCAAGGCCAGGAGTAGATGAGCCAGCCATGAGATTTGCTCTACAACTCCAGCTCCTCGTTAATGTGGAGTTTCTGGAACTTGACATATCTGCTGCCAAGGACCTTGGAGATTGTTCACCAAGATCAGGGTGACTGACAAGAGAATCAATGGTCTTTTGTACATTATTCAGTCTCTGCTCCAATGCACCATATCTAAAACCATTTTGGATATCACTCACTTCTCTATCTCCATTCACAGGGTTTGATATTATTTCCCGACCTCTCGCATCTCCATTTTCGTATGTCAAAGCCAGCATTCCCTCATTGTCGGTATTTGATAATCTATGGGATTCATTCTTATCCCCACTTGTCTCTTCCATCTCAATACATTGAACTTCCTTGCAGTATTCACCAGAATCTTCTGCAGCTCCAATTGCATTCTCCTCTAAAACATTACCTGAACAGGATCTTACAAAATTCTTTCCAATCGACAGAGGTGATGATGTACACTCAGACAAAGAATGGTCTTCAGTATTCTCCTGGTCGTACAGATCATCAGAATTACTCCCACTCTGTGTGTTGTAATAATGAGTTCCGTTCGACCTTTTAGCCCCTACATCCATATGATGCGAATTGGCTACACCTGATGACTCTGATATGGAATCTTCCCATCTACCATTTGCTTGGTGCTTTGGATGATGATGGATAGCAGCCTGAACATAAAAAGGAAAAAGGAGTTACTATTGCAGCATTACTTTGTGTATAATGAGAGCCTACAGTAATTAGGCATTAACATAAACCTCTTGTCTTGTGTCTTGGTCATGCCCAACCATTCTTAGCAAATCCTCAACCCGAGATTGAGCAAGATCTCGTTGCTTAGTCAGCTCCTTAATCTCCTTCTCCATCTGCATGAAGTAAAACCCAATTTATATCAGCAAATGTGTACTAAAATATGTGTTAAGCTCAGCCTCAGTCCTTTTTTAACCGGTGAAAACAGATCATACTACACAATACATATCATTTAAGGTCCTTTTCAGTCGTATAGTCAATCAAACAGCAAAATCTATGCATATAGTTCAGACTAGGCCAGCTGATTATGTGTCATGTAAATTGGTAGAACTAGAGACCTGCAATACACATAACTGTCGCAAAATAATATTCCAGAACTATAATTGAAAATTCATTCATTTATGCGACCGATTCAATTCATTGAAGTTAAAACTTTATCATGTTACTTCTAAACTATGTGCTTTAACACAATGTTTATCTTTGATGAGTACTTCTAAAAGGAGTGCACAACAGATACCCATATACAATAAAGCATGCACACAGCTATCTATATATGCATCATTTTAGACACCCCTAAAAATGAGACTAAGAATCAGAATACTTGAACCATTCATGTATGCACAAAAATTTCTGATAAATACTTACAAGTACGATGTTGACAAATCAATTGTATTTAGGTGTACCTAATTTTTGTATGACAAGGATGTATTGATGCGCAACATATTTCCAAATGATTTTAAAATGGAAAATACAAACCTTCTGGATCTGAAGATCTTTCTTTCTCAGTAGTGCAGGATAATCACAACTCGATGAAATAGGGGCTGGACTTCTCAACTCACTTTCCAACCTAGCCAATTCTTTTTGCAAATGCTTAACCAATGCCTTATCAGACATGACCACGTTGACCTGTGCTTTTGTAGTAACTTCTTTGGCACAACAAGCAAACAAAAGAGTGTTTCTGGTTTGCTCAACATGACTACGAGCAGGGCTTAGAGTGCATATAATGGCAGTTCTAGCATTACCACCCAAGCAAGGCTGAAGTAGGCGCGTCAACTTAGAGTCTCTATAATTGATGTGTCCATGTCTTCCTTTACTGAATTTATCATTGAAACATATTGACTAGTAAGTTAAATTACTAACCTATTTACCATAAATCTCCGAAAGGAACAAAAATGAAGCATAATGGCAAAGAGGACTCTTTGGAGAACTCAATGCAGAAATATATTCATCGTCATGTCTAAATAATCTAGCCAAAGCAATTTGTGCCTATCTTGAACTTTGATTAACATATTCAGAAATAGGCTCAAGCTTTGTTTTTCAAGCTGTAACTCAGTTTCAATTCTGATCAACTTAGTTGAGCTAAACTGAAATAGCACAGTTTTTGACTTGGCTCATAACAATATGTTCAAATAACTTTACAAAGTCCATTATGTTAAAAAGTGAAACCAAAGTTCCATCTCAATGTTTTGCATTGAGAAAAGTTCTCAAGGTAATCATTACTACAAATGACATCCAGAACAAATCCTGACATTCCTTTGGAAATTAGCATTATAAAAGAGTTGTTATTGAATAAGTGTTATCAGCTCTTCAGAAAGTGAACCACCACTAAACTATGTCAAAAACATTGGCTACAACAAGTTTCATATTTCTGACTACCAATTAAACTCAACCAACCTTAGCTTGCGAATGACAGTGC